ATTTCATCTATATTTATAAAACTCAAAGGTGACTGACTGACATAGTGATCTATCAACACACAGTCCAAACCACTGGACGGATCGCGCTGAAATTTGGCATGCAGGTAGATGTTATGACGTAGGCATCCGCTAAGAAAGGATTTTGGTCAATTCTAACCCCAAGGGGATAAAATAGGGAATGAAAGTTTGTATGAAACTTTGTCAATTTTAAACCGATCGGGCTGAGACTTTGCATGCAGGTATAAGAAGAATCATAGATTAACGTATTGTGTATAATACAAGCCTGAGAACAAAAACTGTAGCCTACACTTCAGCTCTACACCGAAGCGAAGCGAGGGCGGGCCACTAGTTTCAAATATTTTTCAAATCACACCGGCGCGAAATTCGCTGTTTGTTCATAAGGAATAGCACTGCTGAATACTTTTACTTGACGACTCTGTATATAACAATACAGGGAGAAACAAACAGCCCTTGCTGAGTTTCTTGCCGGTTCTTCTCAGTACAAGGTCTCCCGCCGTAGTTTTGCGAACCGAACCGAACAGCTTCTTGACCTTGATAAGTGCTTGTAACAGCCTAGACTGAATAAATGATTATTGATTTTGATTTGAAACCTATAAGTAACGCGGGTAGGCACCAGCCAGGCTTTGTGATAATCTCTGTTTGGCAAACGAAGTAAAATGCGCCCAATACAGAATCCGTTTTTGCTAAGGACACTTACGATTTGAACATGAAATTAGAAAAAAATAAGAGAACTTCAACTCTAGAGTCTGTGCGGAAATAGAATGGGTGTGACGAAAAACGGAACTAACATTAAGATTTTTATTTGGCAATCAAACCCAGCAATCTGTAAAACGACAAAGTTTTGTACTGATACGGATTTGTTTGCTGTTGTGATTTTTTGCAGTTTTTTGTATTTAATCATGTCTAAAAGGGGTTAAACCTTACAAATACGGTAGAAAAGCACTACAGCGCCCTCCAATCTAAATCCCATTCTCTTTCCGCACAGACTCTACCTCTCACTAGGTTATATGTTGTTTTATATTTTTATCGGGCAGAACAACGTTTGTTGGGTCCACTAATCAGGAAAAAAAAAGTCAAATCCACACCTAAAGAGTTATCACAGCTTTATATCTCTAGGAGCAAGCAAGGTTGCTTAAATACCGACCTAAGTACGTAGGTACCTCGGTAATAAAAAAAACATTTAATTATGTCATGTCGAAATAATTGATACGAATCTGCAGCCATCGATCAAGATGTAACAACGCTATCATTGATTAACAATGATGAATTCTATTATAAAATAAAGATGTGATGACAGATAAGTATCATTAATGCGAATTATGATTTACGATCAATATTTTATATTGCAACTAGACGGGATCCCAGAGTAATAAAACTGCTATTATATGAAGAAAGATATGTCGTAAGGCGTGATTTGATAAATCGAATTTGCTCGAAAATCCTAGGGATTAAACGTGGATAATTAGACAGTGGTGTCGATTCTGGCGTGATTCTCTATAACTAATCTTAAATTTGACAACAGTATTCCCCTGTCATTCTCTATACAGAAGAAAAGGAGAGACTGAAATTAAATTTAACTTTAAGTTTAGATAATCATGCCAGAATTGACACCAATGCAAGGCCGGATTTAGGATTGTGGAGGCCCCGGGCCACATAGGATTTGTATGCTTATTGACCCATCGAAATGTTGTTATTTCTTAAGCTGTTGTGGAGGCCCTGTTGTGTGGCCTAGGGCCACAGCCACACCTACCCTGCCTTAAATTCGGCCCTGGGTAAAGGTAAAAGAGCAAAAAAAAATATCAAAGGAAAAGATGTTTACTAGCTAGAATTTGAAAGATTTTTTTTCCGAAGTCTCTATTGTGGGGGCCCCCCGTTTGTGGAGGCCCCGGGGCTTTCGCCCCGGTTGCCCTCCCCTAAATCCGGCAGTGCACCAATGGCGATGACATTGCTCAAAACTTACTTGAATGATGAATGATCGTTGGGAGGTAATTAACAGATGTCACTACAGACGTTTTAATATTAATGCTTTAAGGCTTTTAAAGCGCTGTAAAATATTTTAAACTACATGTACCTATAACAATTACTCGATCAATATTGTGGTTAGTTGAACAGTTTCGCGTGCATCAACACGAAATGCAAAATTCATAAAATATAGGTACCTAATTGGATGGCTTGTACAAGTTCACTATAACAATTTTTTTTTCTAATCCACTTGACAGTCGTCGCATTCAGGATCACACCGGGCCCCGTTAGGGTCGTGACATGCACCTGACGACCCATATTTCTGGAGCATTCCGTGAACATTTTCCATGGTATCATCGCATCATTAACGAAACCGACCGACACAATAATGAGCTCTATTTCCACCAGTTAGGGTCGATATTGTCGCAGTGATCTAGTTTTATGGAGTTGAAGACACGACGCGCTCCGAATCAGATGTCACGTTGGTCACGACTAATAAAAAAACTGAAGACGTTAAGCCATAGAGTTCGAGCGCCAAAGAAATGTTCGGAATGATGTTTAATGTTGGCTAGCAGACCCTACAGACTTAGTCCTGCCCTATAAAAAAAATCCTTAATGGCCTGCGCAGAGGAGGGACTTTTGTCTGGGGAGGATAAACATCCCGCAATCGTGAAAAATGTCCCCCGAAGACTTGTCACAGACTCAACGCACACGGTGTGCGAGCAATCATATTCTGCCCAAAAATTGGAGAAGTAAATATGTATTCTCAAATTACGTTGCGTTGTAATCAAATAAATATTTCCAAGACTCACACCAATTAGCCTAGCCCGAAAGTAAGCACTGTAGGCTTGTGTTATGGGATACTAAGTTAACGGATAGAATACATGTATAAGTATATTTATATAGAAATACATATTAAACATCCACATGAATGGAGTACAAATGCTCGTATTCATCACACAAACATCTGCCTCCACCGGGATTTGAACCCGGGACATTCGAGTCGGCGACACCATGAAACCCGGCGTACAAACCACTCGACCACGGAGGTAGTCAATTAACATGAAGTTTAAGAAAAAGAGAAGCCGTTTTAAAAGAGAATAAATACTGTGTCCAACTCTTTAAATCGGATTGAGTGCGCAACTCGGGCTAAAAGATATCTGTCTGCGATAGTCCGCCTAGTCACATGAGTTTTAGTTTTTCGGTGACATCCGTATTCTTTTGTCCAGTCCGGCTTCTCGGTGTCCAGGGTTATTCGTAGGACTTTTTGAAGTTGTAAACGATCTATTTTGGCGTACAATAAAGTCCGTGGACAAAGGTCCCTCTTCTACTATTCTACCTTTCGAGTAAAATTGTAACTTAAGTGTACTTCAATTTTCTAATTTTCTGCGGAACTTGCTTATTTAATTTTGTAACGACCATACACAAAGTATTGCATTATGAATCTCACCGAGGGTTTCGTACAAATATGTAGGTACGCCACATAAACGGCCGTATCTTTTTTTACATTAATTTAGAAGTTTTAATTCTTCACAGCTCAAGGGACTGTACACCTTTGACCCTTTATCTCAGGAACGCTTGGAAGTATCGAGTTCAAATTTAAACCATATACTCAGGTCTACAATCCCTTGAAGCTGTTAAAATCAAACTCCTAGGTTAACGTGAAACTCTCGAAATCATCTAGAATCTAAACTTTTGTTCTTTCACCTCAGTTACGCAGTCTTCCGTTCATAAAATCAGTTTATTGGCACACAGCCATATAATAATTCCGTTCCGTCCTAATTACACACAAATAATGCGAGCAAATTCGTTAATTATTCCATAAATATTACAATTGACATTGACCTAATTCAGAAATTGGAAGCAAAACCGCCAAAAGAAACATTGGAAAAACCATCACAGATTAAAAAAAAAGTAAGATTGTATAACATTCCATAAATATAACGGCACTGGCTGTGAAGAGTTTAAGCCTTAGGATAGGTTTTGTTTCGTTCCAAGCGCGGACAGGAGTAATATCAGCTGGAGCAGTATCTAAGTTGTCCATTGTATTGTCCATCACATGCTCCATTGAAAACGGCGATACATAACGACGTGGATGCAACGGAATAGGCAATAAATGTCAGGGGAATTAAAAAGGTGATATTCTATTACGTAATAAATAATACCTATATTGAAGTTTTTTTTTATTGTAATAAGTAGTTCTCCCTTTCATAGTTTCTTTATTGTCCTAAGATTTGTTCAGAATTTAAGATTCCTAGCAGAAGCCAACAAAGAATAAATGACAGGGGAATTAAAAATGTGACTTTCTATTACGTAATGTATTGGAGAATTGGCTTTTTTATTGTAATAAGAAGTTCTCCCTTTCATGGTTACTTAAGTATTTTAAAATTTGTTCAGGATTTAAGATTCCTAATTAGTTCCTAGATTAAATTTGTTTAAGTCAAGGGTCTTAAAGTAGACATTTTCTAAATGTATACATATCATTTTATGCTTTTTGATTTTGAAAATGCATCCGTTTTACCTTAAAAATCCCAACATGTGGAGCCCGGGTATGTTGGTTGGTATGTGGGTGTGATCTTCTGGTGGAGGGTACTTCCCCAGACGAGTAGACGCCGCTATTTCCTACTTCAACTTTTTGAAGAACTGCAAAAGGTTTTTTTAGATCCCTTAGCTTACATTTTTTCTGTCTTCCATATAACCAATACCAGTTGATTCTTTTCTACAAAAAAATAATAATTTAATAGTTATGTTAATTTTGGGTTACCTACAATGCGAAGAGATGGCGCTGCCTTGCAGCCTAAGGCTAGAGAAAATTCGACACGGCCGTCAGGGCCGTGGTAGCATAATGGTCAGTGCATTCGAACGGATAGCGAAGGGTTCGAGTCCCGTCTGCTGCCTGATCCGCGTGGAATTTTTTCTAGTAAACTTTTCATTAAATTTAATAGTTCCTCACACTCTTATCAGCAACAAGACATAAAATTTTATCTCTTACTTATGTAATAAAGTATTCTTTTCAGTCGACAGTCGCGGGCGCCTCGCAGCGTGTACTCCTACCGCAGCGCAGTGGCGCCATCTGTTGCCTCTACGCACAGATCCAAAGTCTCCAGAAAGGTAATTTTAATAGAACTTATTTCGATAGAACTACCGAATGATATAATAAAATTTGAAGGAAAAACTTTGTAGGTACCCATTTTAAAGCTCCTTTTTCCCAAGAAGGACTGTGTGTGTATATATAATAATATTATACGTTATAAAATTTTGTAGGCAGGCGTGAAGGTGGACGCTATGGCGGCGCCGAACCCGTTCTGCCCCAACGTAAAGGGCATGTGCTGCCTGATGCTGCTGCTGAACCTGGGCCTCATCCTGGTCACGCTGGGTTTCGTCATCGTGCTACAGTTCTTCGAGCCTCTGTTCGTCTGGTAAGGGAAATTGCTACCCATTCTGCCCAAAGTGAAGGGCGTGTGCTGCCTGATGCTTCTGAACCTGGGCTTTATCCTGGCCACGCTGGGCTTCGTCATCGTGCTGCAGTTCTTCGAGCCTCTGTTCGTCTGGTGAGAGAACTATGCTACCCATTCTGCCCAAAGTGAAGGCCATGTGTTGCCTGATGCTTCTGAACCTGGCTCTCATCCTGATCACGCTGGGCTTCGTCATCGTGCTGCAGTTCTTCGAGCCTCTGTTCGTCTAGTAAGGTAACTATGATACCAATTCAGCCCAAAATGAAGGGCGTGTGATGCCTGATGCTTCTGAACCTAGGCCTCATCCTGGTCAAGCTAGGCTTCGTCATCGTGCTGCAGTTCTTCGAGCCTCTGTTCATCTGGTAAGAGAACTATGCTACCAATTCTGCCCAAAGTGAAGGGCATATGCTGCCTGATGCTTCTGAACCTGAGTCTCATCCTGGTCACGCTGGGCTTCGTCATCGTGCTGCAGCTCTTCGAGCCTCTGTTCATCTGATCAAAGAATTATGCTTCCCATTCTGCCCAAAATGAAGAGCGTGTGCTGCCCGATGCTTCTGAACCTAGGCCTCATCCTGGTCACGCTGGGCTTCGTCATCGTGCTGCAGTTCTTCGAGTCTCTGTTCGTCTGATCAAAGAATTATGCTTCCCATTCTGCCTAAGGTGAAGGGCATATGCTGCATGATGCTTCTGAACCTAGGCCTCATCCTGGTCACGCTGGGCTTCGTCATCGTGCTGCAGTTCTTCGAGCCTCTGTTCATCTGGTGAGGGAAGTTGCTACTCATTCTGCCCAAAGTGAAGGGCATGTGCTGCCTGATGCTTCTAAACCTGGGCCTCATCCTGGTCACGCTGGGCTTCGTCATCGTGCTGCAGTTCTTCGAGCCTATGTTCATCTGGTGAGGGAAGTTGCTACCCATTCTACCCAAAGTGCATACATGCCTTGAAGACGTTTTTGTGTGTAAAATTGCTACTGCACAGGCTCCTTGTCTATGGTCTTAGCTCAAGAGTTTTGTTGTACAAATACAATAAAACACTATTGAACAAGAATGTTTGTCAACTGGCAAAAACCAAAAACCCAAAAACTTAACAAAGCAATATTTTCAAATACAAGTTCTCTTAGCAATAAACGACAGTAAATTTTCATCACATTTTACCATTTTTAACGTTATTATTGTAATAGACTTTCATTCAATACGATGTTTTTATTACCGACTAAGTTCATTACAAAACAACCACACACGCAGCGCTTGCGCATCGAATTATCTCTCAAAATCGTACTGTTCCGATTCCGAGGCTCACGTTCACACAAGGCGACAATAGCTTGTAGCACATTAAAAATCACTTAGCTATTTTTGAGAAAAAAACCATTCTGCCAACGTTTACGGTACATGTAATTTAGGATGACATTCGTAAGAATTTTCTCTTTTAAGTATGTTGCTATATGGGATGGGTACAGTACATCACTTGAACAAAATCAGTGTCATTGGGCCGAGACCTGGAGGCCTACTCTATTTCAAAGAAAAACGATATTTCGATCGAAATTTCGCACGTTCCTTACTCTTGTTTCTATTTCATTTCGAAAATTCGTTCGTCCGAAAATAGTTTGACATTTAAATTCTCCAAGCCTACTCTAATTCACAAAACTTTTGAATTAAAAGTTGAACAGATAATTGTTCGAAATTTTAACCTCAAATTAACGAAATGAAAAGTGTTACCTTTTCATTTTCGTTTAGGGAGTTTTGTTTAAATTAAACCTAAAATTACTACTAGAGTATTTTTAATTAAGGCTGCTTAGCGTGAGGAACATTTTTTAGTATGAAAAATTTACAAATAAATCAAATTTTTGTTTATTAATCTATTGCCAATACTTCAAAGTGTTACACGACAAGTTTAGGTTGACATACATTCGATTGTGTCAACTCTACAAATTAGTCGGCTAACACTGTCAAAAGAGGTTGTTTTAATGTAATCAAAAATTTTGTCATAAAGTAATATTGTTTTGAATTAAAAAACGTTATCTAAAAAATGCAGACAAAAAGAACTCACAAACATAACTAACGAACTTTATGTGCGTGTTCGAAGATGAAATAAAGTAGAGTCACTGACGAAATTTCGTTTAAAATTCGTTCGTTGCCGAAATTTCGTTTCGGAGAAAGAGAGTAGAGCTCCTGGTTCTATTTATTTGTATAGTATCACCACTAGTTTTTTTATGTTAAAAGGGAAGCAAACAATGGTATGGCCCGCCTGATTGTAGGCGGCCACCATAGCCTTATAGACGCTTGCGATAACAAAAGTGTCACTCGCACCGTTGCCTTCCCTGACCCAATCCCCTAGCCCGTGGAGCCCTGGGACCTTTCTCACCGGCAGAAACACAACACCACTAAAAGGCAGTGTTATTTAACTCTAGTACACCGAAACTTTATTATATCCAGCTAGGAAGACGTGAAGTCATTAGTCTCTATAGCAGCATCTGACTATTATCTCGCTGGCTCCATGCATACCCTTTATTGCAAATCTAAGGAAAATTTGCCCAGAACAATATCCACGCGCTCCAGGCATCAGATGGGCAAGAAGAAAATAGTATATAAGTAGTTTTGTTAGCATTTTTAAGTAACAATTACATCGTAACTCAATGCCCCCACAGTCAAACCAGTTTGCATGGTTTTGTGGGACTATGTTTTTATAGCAACTTTGTAAATGTGTCTTAATTATAAATATTTTTTTAAAAATTACCCATCTCTTTTCCAGGATACTCGGCATAGTTTTCCTGATCTTCGGCTTCATAACGCTAGTCGGTAGTCTGATCTACTGCGTGGTTCTCTGCAGGGAGAACCCTTACCCCCGACATCCTGATGACTTCTATTGGACCCATCACTGGTCCAAGACCATAGGACCCTCGGAAATACACTATAGTGCGAGCGAAAAACCGTATAGACAAAACGGAAATGGAGACAGATATAATAATAAGTACAACGGTAAATATTCAGACAGAGAAAGCGCTAAAGGCTACTCTGACAGAGAGAGCAAGTTGAGTAGGTACTGAAATAACCTAACTACTTGTTGAAAGGCGAAAGATATTTAAATATATGTACAAGTCATGGCTGGACCACAATTATGTCAATTTTTCTTTGTACGACCGATTCCTTGACCAAGCCCTTTTGACTTCTTGTTTACAAAACACAATCCTTTGCGCAAAAAATAATTTTACAGGTACATTATCCCTTTACGCACTTGCTGAAGTCATAAAATTGGGTACACAGTTGGAAGATAATTAGTAAAAAATGTCCCATTATTTGTCATTCATCTATTAAACAAGAGGCGGGGCGAGCGACGCAATAGTTTTGAAACTGGTCTAGCGAAGACTTTGTTGATGGTACTTACGTTTTTGTAAACACTTACTATGAAGTTATCTCGAGTCACCATAATTTATATGAATATAAGAATGACTTTGATTCGTTTCAAAGGAATATTTCTTATGTTGTTCATAGATAGGTAAACGAACTACCTATTACTATACATTAAAAAAATGCTTGAAAACAAAATCATATTGGCTCGACTTCATTGTGCAGGAGTAGTTAAATATATATTTTTATTCAAAAAATATTTTACCCACTTTAAGCGTTTTTCCATACCGGAACGGTTTAGCAAATTTGTTTTTATAAATATTTCTAAACAATTAAAATTAATACTTTATTATGTATCAATTGCTGTATATTATGTTACTATTTTACCGAATCTTTACTAATCTTTTATGCCTGTTTCAATTCAAATACGAAAATATTAATGTTATTGATAATATCACAAAATATATATAAAATATGAGAACGAAGCATTTTGTTCGTTGTTGTACCTTACAGATTAGTAACAATTTGTACTTAATATTAAAAATATTTAATTAATTATATAATGATGTGTAAATAATACATTAAAATAGTTTGTAAAACACTCTTCATATCAAATGCCATATTATTATAATTACCAGTTTTAGAAGAGTGTTTAGAGCTTTATGATATAAATAAATATTAATTTATAAGTATCGGAATATGTGTGTTGGTATTATCGGATCACATTGTTTTCACTATTAACCCTGTGAAGTAATCCAAATAGTTATACTACTTTCTTAAAAAAATATTAAAGATTAATATAAGGACTACACCGCGTTTTATTTCAAATGCTATGAAAAACTTACTTTTTCTATCAGCGTTAGCAGAAAGTGTATTTATTCAAGGTGTACTCTTCCCTTCCGATGAACCTTTCATGCAAACCTGTTCAGCAATTCCAGCGCGTGATAATTTACAAAAAAAACGAGCGAGCCTTACAGTAGTCGCGTATGATGTGTAGCATTTGAAACCTCACCTTATATTAGTAAAAAAAGAAATAAAACCTACTACAAAAGGAATGAGCCATTTGAACATTATGTTCTAAAATCAAATCAAATAGCGCGCGCTTTCGCGACTTCCTGTTACACACTTCAGTCCCATTTCACGAAATCACTCCCACAAATTGCAGGAAAGCGAGAGGAAAGATGTTACACATCAATAATAACATTGAGTTAATATTAAATTAATGAATAAAAAGCTAAAAAAAAAATCAAGCACAGGCAGTATCGTAATTAGTTTTTAATAATAGTAAATCATAGATTTGTAAGTATGTTAAACTATGATTACTATGATGCATCACTACATAGTATAAAGCAAAGTCGCTTCCCGCTGTCTGTCCCTATGTATGCTTAGAACTTTAAAACTACGCAACAGATTTTGATGGGTTTTTTTTTAATAGATAGAGTGATTCAAGAGGAAGGTTTATATGTATAATACATGCATAATATAGTAGAGAAACACTGATAATTTTAGAAGTTTTAATGTAAGGTCGTAAATTAAGACATTTTTTTGCGTATACATTGCAAACTCTGGCTGAACCCTACGAGATAGATCAAAATAATATACTACAGTATTGTACACCTTACAAGGATATACAAAAAAGTCCGTGATAGTGTACGTCTATCTCTTAGGGATAACCCACAATAACCATTTTTTATCCTTTAGGTACTTTATAAGAGAAATAATGGCTGATTATGAACACCAGGTTATTAACCAAAACCAACACACAATGATACGTAGTTTATGATAATTATTAACTTACCTCAGTTAAAAACATAATATTTCATCTTAATTAATATTTTTTACTTGTTTTTCCAAGATTAAAAATATGTGACCGTTCAAACTTTGACATAGTAGAAAAATTTACTGCCGTTGTTTTTTTTTTATTATTCATGATGTGGATACAAGTCCTTCAGTCGCATACTTAAATACAAATATTAATCTTCTTTTTTTTATTTTCATTAGAATGTCGGTGTGACGCTTTCTAATGTTTCTTGGAGTGTTTAGTCACGTTTTTAGCACGAAATCTATCGAGTTAGTTTTTTCGATAAGCTTCTGTGAGGTAGTCAACACTACAATAAAGTTCTTACGTACACTTGACCGGAATATATTGGTCTTTGGTCTAAAGATTCCACTAATTCTTCAGTTGCGCAGATTGTTGTAACACAAAATCACACATTTAGATCACTATATTCTATCCACTATGAACGAATTGAAATAAGACGCCAACCACACTCGATGAAATCGCCGCCAAAAACTGCCGAGTTGATCACGTGACATATCGCAAGTTTCAAACGCCTCTCTTCTCTTTGTAGATCAATCAATCAATCAAATCAAATCAATCAAAAACAAAAAATTTAGGTGAACATTTATTATTTCTGAGATAAAGATTTAATGATGGTGTGGATTCTGGCATGGTTCTCTAGACCTGAACTTTGGTTTTGCAGCGGTGTATCCTTGTCATTCTCTATACAGAGTGAAGGGGGGGCACTGATGTTGGGTTTGGTTTTGGGTTTGGAGGGTAGTGGCAGAGTCGACACTAGTGTTTAGGTAACCACATGCATGTGTCCTACAGTTGTGTTTATAGTTTTTTATAGTAATGTACACTGGTACTTATTTTTTTTTCCCCTATTTTGCTATCTAGTATCCATATGTGGTTATGGGTAGTCATACTCTCTTAAAAATCTCTTCGGCGGTGTCGTGTGAGGCGGGTCGTTACGTTCCCTAAAAAATGGTTGAGCGAAACGATGGCTGATTCATGCGTCATGCTCGTGAACGGGTGCTGCCAGCGGAGATGAGTCTGCTCTTGCTACATTGGGTACTATTAATCGTTGTATTTAACTTTAATGGTACATTTGTTTTTATGCCTAAACAGTGGGACACGGCATTCCTAAACTTCTTTTCATTTTTAAATCTGTTTTTTATATTTTTTATTTTATAGTCATAATTGTTTTATCATTTACATTTGTAATGGAAAGTGACTTCATGGGTTATCTCATATTGAACTCATTTTTCAAATTGACGACTCTGTATATAATACAGGGAGAAAAAAACAGCCCTTGCTGAGTTTCTTGCCGGTTCTTCTCAGTACAAGGTCTCCCGCCGTAGATTTGCGAAGACTGAATAAACGATATTGAATTTTGATTTTTTTTTTGAATTTTAGATTAGATAACAACTAGCAAACCAAATGTTCACCAAAAAAAAATGTATTTGATGTAATTGAACTTCGGAGATTTTGTGTGGTTTCGTTTGAAATCGAAATCACGTGATTTCTCGTAAACCGGAAGTGCTACGTTACTCACATCCGGTTTGTAGTCTTGTCAGACTATTCTTAACTTATAACTTAAACATTCTCTATATCTATCTCGTACGGTTTGGCCGCTGAAACAGCACCACGGACGGACGGACGGACTTGTCTAATAGATAAGAGATGAAACTTTGATTTTAATTTTGAATACGTCAAAATTAAAATTAAAGCATACCTACCTACCTAAAAATAAACAAAATAGGTTTTTTTGATATTGAACAAATTGCAATATGAACGACAAAATGCAAAACTTAGTACAAAAAAGAGTATTAAATACATACTATTGCGTTAGAGTAAGAAACACGTAACAAAAATACACAATATAAATAATTGAAAATAAAAAATAGTATCTATAACACCAAAAAGATATGTCAGAAGTGGGATTCGAACCCACGCCCTCAGAGAGGACCAGAACACCCAACCCGCTTTTCGCAGGCAAGTTTCCTTGAGTCTGGCGCCTTAGACCGCTCGGCCATCCTGACGTTGATGAGATTGACGAAATTAACAATAACTTCCTGCAACATTTTGAATAGTGCAAAAAGATTTTATGATATCATTAGCAAACTATCGTCACAATATATTCTGTGCTATCGTCACGTCTACATAAACTTATATTCGCTCTTATCTTTTTACATTTTATATTAATTACTATTGTGACAATAAAATATACCTACGTCTTGTTATGGTTGAGTTTTTGATAAATTCTAGGTAAAGATCTATAAAAATGGGTTCAAAATCACAAGGCAATTTTAAGATGACGCTGCAAAACTACACGTAAAACCAAACAAACAACTTCTTTTGTCATGTTGTTTTGTCATCGTTACTGGTGCTGGGGCATAGACCTGTGGACGGACCTAATAAAAAATATGATAAATATAGATTGGTTTGGATACTAACGATTTATGGTCCAACATGTTGCCTACAATGAAAAATTATGGTTTAAATTATTTCTAGCTAAATTTTCTTTAGATTTAAACATCAAGCAGTTACATGCTTTAAAATAATAAAAATTATAACTATAATTGCTATTTCTTCTCAAAATGTTTAATACTTATAAAAGTATTCATTTGACATTGTGGGTTACCTATAATGCGAAGAGATGGCGCTGCCTTGCAGCTTTAGAATGGTTAGAAGAATTTCGACGCGGTCCGTGAGGGCCGCGGTAGCATAATTGGTTAGTGCATTCGCCCGGATTGCGAAGAGTGCAGGTTCGAGTCCCGTCTGCTGCCTGGTCCGCGTGGATTTTTTTCTAGTTATATTTTCTTTAGATTTAAACATCAAGCAGTTATATGCTTTAAAATAATAAAAATTATAACTAAATTAATCTGACTAAATCTCGTCCGTACTTGTACCTACGGGATGTGTAGTGTTCTCGTACCTCGTACGGAAGACCAGAAATCTCGTACGGTTGGAATCCCTGCTGCAAGGCGCGGCTGCCAGATTTGCAAAGGCGGCAGAAGCCATATAAAAGCACTCGTTCCTGACCTATATTTTGTTTAATTTACTATTTCTGGGGGATTTGGTTTATAATTTTTTAAAAGGTTTCGGTTGTTGGCTTACGTACGGACCGTACTCCAGTTTGATTGTTACTCACATGATCATACTATTTTGTGGTCATACCTCTTGTCTCTAACGCAGTCACAGATTACTTAATAGCCTGCCGCAGAGTAGAAGCGCATCGAAGCGTGATTCAGAAACGTAACATAGCAAACCATTCTGATTCAGAAGAGCTCATTTTTCCTTTTGCGCTATTGCTGATATGGTTATCATAGGCGTTCCATAGCCATAAAATGTCTCAAGCTGGTTGACCGGTAGACCAAAACCATTTAAATAATTAAAAAATATCATATTTCCTCAAAGTTTAAAGGGTGTTTTCCACAGCGAGCGGAGCGAGTCCATTAATGACTCCGTTCACCCCGCAATACTTATTACTTTATACAAAAATAGATCCTACATCCGTTTCTGCCAACAAAGAGCCGATCGAAAATGGCAGAGTGCAAAAAGAGTAATAATGAGCTAGTTAGTACGAAACTCTTTCTCGGTGGAAAAGCAATCCTATTTTGTACACGAACACCGCTTCGCTAGCGCAAGAAGGATGTCAAGACATCCCTTGTTTGGCGGCGGAAAACGGTCTTACCTGATAACGTATAAGTTCTTGGGTATCAAGAGTCGTTTTAATTATTTGAGTAGATACGATTTATATACTGTGTATCGATTTTACATTGTATATTGTCACTGATATTTGAAGAATGGAAATGACCGAAAAATTAAACACAGCTATAAAATTGTTCATTTATTTACAAATTGTTTAAAATTAACAAATTATACCTATTAGAAAACATAAATGAAACATCAAATGTCACAATACCAGCAACAAAGAGTGTCAAACTCGTTTGTCCACATCACATCATAAAATTTAGGAAAATTTTATCAAAAATCGTAATAGGTAATTGACAAAATACAATACAAATCCATTACAAAAATAATTTATCAATATGGAATGGAAATAACATTCATGAAAACGCAGACTGAAGAAGTGGTTAGCACTACAATGTACAAGGCAACAGCACTAAGTTACACATACATCTGCAATTAATTTTCAACCTTAAAAAACTACACATAAGGTTCAAAATCTATTGAGAAATCTTAGTGTAATGCTTTGACACTGCTACAGCTAACTCGAGATAAGTAATAAAATGCCTAATTTCTTTAATTGTTCACTCAATAAATTAATAAGAAACAATATAAAGAAGACAGACTTATGCGAAAAGCAAAGTACAAGTCAAGTATTAAACAAGGAAATTGAAATAAATTCATTATTTACAAAATATAGTATTGTTATTGAAAAACTCACTCAAATTGTTAAGATTTCGAGCTAAAGTTTGAATAATTAATTATTGAAATCATGTCAAACTATATAAATATTACTTAAGAGTAATTGTGCCTACTCTATAGTTATCAATCACGGCGAGATAAAATGACACTTAAATTGTCAATTTTAACATATATAAACATGTACCTATTTTCAAAGGTTTCATATAAATCTAAAAATGACATTCTATCATGCCCTGATTCTTATGTAAAATGAACGAGATTACGCAACTCTCAAGCGAGCAGACGAGTATTAAACTAGAAATACTACATTAAATTAAAGTTGACACATTCACTGGTTTAGTGAAATGGTCTTATCAACGCCCGGCCTCAGTCAATGAGCTGCCGGGAAAGTACCGTCTTTACATAAAAATGTATAAAAAAATAATTTGAACTGTTGTAGTTGATGGGCAAACACACAATGCATCACCAACAGTAACACAAAACGGTTCGTACGCCTCATTGTGCTATCATTTTCTATAACCGGTTCCAAATAATACCGAATCTGAAACAAGAGAAATAATAATGTTTATTTGACATTTTTATGACATGACATTTTTAAGAATTAAACTGCTAGACGTTTAATCTAAAAAAGTTTACTAGAAAAAAATTCACGCGGTCCAGGCAGCAGACAGGACTCGAACCCGCACCCTTTTGATCGGATGCACTGACACCGCGACCTTAATAACAAATGTTATTAATAATACAATAACTGAACTGAAAGAAGTGTTGGTGGTAGAAAGTAATGCTATGTGCAAATTTTAATTATGAAAACACTAGCTGTGCCCCGCGGTGTTACCCACGTTTTATTACGGATATTTTTCCGCAATAAAACCAAGTGTTAATCCCGGGTGTCAGCAAACTCCATGCCAAATTTTATTAAAATCGCTCCAACCGTTTAGACCTGAAGAAGTAACAAACATACATACTCACAAACTTTCGCCTTTATAATATTAGTGTGATTACACTCTTTTTTATGGGGAGTAAATAAAATGAAGCTCAATGGTCAAAGTTAGCACATACGTTCTGCGATCATGGAAGTTAAGCTGCTTTCGCAATGGACTGGCACAGGATGGGTGTCATAAAAATCGGTTATCTTGAGCTTTTCCGTGCTTTGGAAGGCATGATAATCAGTCGGTTCTGGCTGCATTTGCAGTAGGTATCAGCATCTATCGACGACCTCCGTGGCCGAGTGGTTTGTATGCCGGGTTTCATAGTGTCGCCGACTCGAGAGGTCCCGGGTTCAAATCCCGGTGGGGGTAGATGATTGTGTGATGAATACGAGCATTTGTACTCGTCATGGATGTTTAATTTGTACAGTATATGTATTCTATCCGTTACCCTAGTATCCCATAACACAAGCCTTACAGTGCTAGGCTAATTGGTTGAGTGTTGGAAATATTTATTATTTTATTATTATCAATCCACTCCCTAGTTAGTCGAGTTTGCAGCCAGCATACAGCACAACGTAAAAGTAACCCTCAACGTAAAGTCTAACTCTCATATAATTACTGTTCTCTTTTAACCCGGGCACGTGGCAGAATCGTCACATAATGAGAAACAGCCAAAACCAACAAACATTTAATTGGATTAAGAGCCGTGTGACGTCACCTGCCTGTAAACATGCCATGTATTTACTAGAGAAACATTACCACGGCATACGCAACTGAATTATAAATATGACTACACATTAATAAATAACGTATGAACGTTTTCAAGAACTTCTCAAATAGTCTATAATAATAATAAGTGTTGACACAAAATCATCCATATCAACAGTATTACCAATGGCTTCTAGCTTCCCCGCTAGTCGGATTCTTCGTCGTCATCGCTGAACTTGTACTTAGGCGCGGGGCGGGCGCGGCCCCTACCACTGGGCGCGGTGGTAGGAGCCGAGGAGGCGACACTCATCACTTCGGAATCAGAGTCGCTGGAGGACTTCTTCTTGGCTTTCTTCTTGGGGTTCACCTTCTTTTTGTCCTGTTAAAGATAAGATTTTGGTAAAAAAAAATTTTTGAAGCATGTAAAGAAAATATTACTGGAAAAAAATCCACGCGGAGCATACAGCAGATGGGACTCGAACCAGCACCCTTCGCTATACGGGCGAATGCACTGCCCATTAATCTACCGCATACCTGATGGCCGTGTCGAATTCTTTCTATCCTTTCTTAAGCATGGTAAGGTAATAAACAAAAAATCCTGCGCAGAAGCAATTTTACATACAAAAACGTCTACTGCACAAATCTGCGTGGTTTTGCTCAAGAACTTTACCGCTTCCTATACTTACTGAAGTTATTCAGTTACTACGTGACCAATAAACTAGAGCTGAAAAGTGTAAGAGACGAAACAATCATGCGGCCAGTAGTAGGCAAATAACTATTATTTGCCTCACTATCGTTTTCTCTCTTTTATAAATTGGTACAAGAGGGCATTATTCAGTCCATTCTCAGTCTCTATGCTTGGAACACACATTAATTTATTATATTTTTTTAAGCATTGAACTGTTAAATTTATTAGACTAAAGAAAACTTTGTCTAATGATAATTTCCTTAAGATAACAAAAAAAAATAACTATAGATAATTTACCTTTTTTGAGGAGCTCGATGGCGCAGGTGGTTAGTGCATTGGGCCTGCAATTGTGTAAGTTAAGCAAATTTTGCAGATGTCGGGTCATTGGATGGGTGACAAAAAATTTAGTATCTCGAACTCCACTGTTCTTCGGAAGGCACGTTAAGCCGTTGGTCCCGGCTGCACCTGCAGTTGTTAGCACCCATAAATCCGAACTGGGCTCGTATGGTGGGTCACGGCCCAATTTCCCTATTCCAACCATAGGAAAGGCCAGTGCCCCAGCAGTGGAGACATTAAATGGCCGATGATGATGATGGACCTAAATTATCAATAATTTACCTTTTTACTGTCAAATATGCTGTCGTCATCGTCGCTGTCTTGGCTGAGCAGCACTTTGGCGGGTCGCTTCTTAGGCTTATCCGCGTTATTGGCAGGTTTCCGCTTGGCAGGTTGCTTCTTTACTGGCACTTCTTCGTCGCTGGACAGTATCGTGGTTGTCGGGTGGGAATTGTGGTTTGGTTTGGATTTTTCCTCTTCCTTTTTAGTATCCTCGATTAGAGAGTCAAATAGACAATCTGTAATAGAAAAAACTACACATGAGTATAGAAATATAAAATTCCAAATAGATAAATGAACAATAATGATGTACAGTTAAAAAATAGTGGAGGTTTTTGTTAATTGTCTGAAATAATGTACTGATAAGAATTCTTCTGTGATGGCTTCTTGGTGATTTAGCCAAGTGAGCTGCATGAAAATGTATGGAAACATTATCTTAACCGAGTCCATATCAACGGGTTTGTTTTATTTTTATATATTAATTTTTAGTCAGGCAACATAGGCCAATAGATAAAAGTTTTACTACAGTAACCCCCTTATTAATGAATGAGGAATAAGTTTAGACTAGTTACGCCGTGTTTTATTCATATCACTCAAGTTACAACAACTCAATGAACGGACAAAACATGAAGTAACTAATCGATGCTTATTCTTCGTTTATAAATAAGGGGGTTAATGAGCTGTGAATAATCTATAATAAAAGGGATGAAGTCGCAGACGTCATACTGTGGCACCGCTCCAAATGGTTAAGACCAACTAGATTTCCCCACTCACAGGGTCACTCCCCATTTTTGTCAAAATCAAATATATTCTGATTGGAGTCAGAAGAAACATTAATGAGCTATTAGACAGTATGAAAAATAAAGTACCAATTGTTGGCATCTGTATTTAATATGAACATGTGAAACGATTTTACTATTTTGAGACCAACAAATAATTAATAACTTTTTAAAAAAATCATTTATATAAACGATTGCCTGGGATAAGCTTAGACTAAAATGACGACACACGCTAGTAAACCTCCGATCAACGTATCGTTTGACGTTCTAATAACAATAGTCGTATGACGTCACATACCAGTGAGCCGCCATTAATGTTCAAAGAAACGTTTTCGTGGAATCTTAAAAAATGAAAATTATGATTTAGTTTTTTACTGCAATACACAACATATCCACTTTTTATGAACTCTATAAAAAAATGTACATAAGTGAGCTCGTTTTCTAAAACTTGCCAAACACCCTATTCTTATATGGCTACTGTTTGTTGTCATATACTCGCCAAAAAAGAAGAGACGCAATTGATGAAAGAATGGCGAAAATTGGAATGACGAACACTCACTCACGTGCAGTTTGGATTATGGTAGACACGGAAAATTTTGTGACGCATCGTCACACAGAACTAGGTGTTGATCTTTACTTGAGTAAAGTTAGAAAGGGCTTTGAATAGCACATCCCTTTCTTATTGTACTACGAGCCTAAGAGTGATGATTCGACACTCATGATCAAATTTTGGATGGACGTCAGTACAACTGACGCGATAAAAATACCGTCAATGGAGTAGGAGCTCGATTAGTTAGCGCATTCGGCTGCGATCGTTTACTATCTCGAGCTCCTCCGTGCTTCCGAAGGCACGTTAAGCCGTTGGTCTCGGCTGTATCTACAGTCGTTAGCACCCACTAATCCGCAATGAACCCGCGTGGTGCGTCATGGCCCAATCTCCCTATTCCATCCATAGGGAAGGTCTGTGCCCCAGCAATGGGGACATTAATAGGCTGATGATGATGATTGCCAGTCAATATATCTTTATAATATTTTGATTATGTGACTAATAAAAAAAAAACTGGTGTGGTGACCTGATAGACACACGACTAAAGAAAAAAAAGTTAGTCATCTCATCATCCCTTTGACTATTATTGTTTTTATATAGACATATCTTACCAGAGTCCATATCAGCCGGTTTCTTATTATTTTGTTTGGCATGCAGTTGTGGTTCTTCGTCATCGCTGGACTCCAGAGATCGCGGTACGGGCGCTTCGTCTTCCAACTTGTTGTCCAACAACTCCGGTTCAGAGTCCGAAGAAGAGTCGTCAGTTCCGTCCTTGTATTTCTGCACCTGAGTAATATTACACGATAACTTATAATAAAATTGTCATGCCGGCTATTTGTATTTGCTTTTTGTAAACTTGAGAACAGTCTGTCTTTATCATGATTCATAAGGAATGAAAAAGACAGACTGATGTCTAGCTGTAAAGGAAAAACGAGTAGCAAAGTGAAGAAGAAAACGCAAAGTTATTACAAATGGTGTTTGAGCCGTACGACCCATAAAGATCGATCTGATACTTTGAGTCAGCCGATTTGGTTAGTTTTTTATTTTCTGAACTTCTGTAAAATTGTATTTTCACTAACAATAAAAGTATGGTAATTGCTCTGTGAAATAGTTAAAATACGGGTTGAAGAACCCAAATAATCTCATGTTATATTATAACATATTTAAGGTTAATTTTACACATAATAACACTTTCTGTCCAAGTTTAAATATTTGGTTATGTATTTTAAGTATGTATTGTTTAAATATTTGATTGTGTATTGTAATAATATATTTACTTTAGTGGCGGCCCGTCTCGCCTGCGTTCTAGCAGGCGGTGAAGATATTTCCACGTCAGAACCAGACATCTCTCCGGAACTGCTGCCACTGAATGTCATCTTTTTCTGCTGACAAAAAAACAAAAAGGATATGAAACAAAGCTTATTACTAAGAGAATAGACAAAAAGTTGCTTGTAAATGGAAAAGACTTCAGACATTCAACAAATTAGAAATGACTTGGAAGCATTATTCTCTAACAAAGTCCGCTAAAATATGGTTCCAAACTCATACAACTAAACTTCAATACTAACACGACACGCTTACAGAAAAAACAAAATACTTTGACATATCTGCAAATGTATTCGGCTATCAATTAATTCGGTAAGAAAATGTTGAACGGAAATCCCAACCAATCCCATGATCAGATTGTTGATTGCATTTTTTTCGGCCCGCCCACTTCATCGCAGTTTACATGAGACCACTTTTAGCGCAGTTCGTATTCCATATTATTTCGAATTCGTTGCAGAGTTAAACTTTCACTGTAAAAAAAATCAAGGTAAACAGGGGGTCAGACTAATGGCATTCTCTATATTTGTTTAAAATATAACTTTATAGTTATATTTATATATTTAAATATAAGCAATAATAACAACAACAGCACCAATAACATTTATAGTACATATCAACAATCATGTGATACAATCTATTAATTTTTTTCTTTAATTTGAAACTTTATTTGCGTTAAAGCACGTGTTCATCACACAAATGTTTTGCCCCCTGCGGGATTTGAACTTCGAACAGAGCTGATGATCCGTAGTATTCGTACTTACTAATCGCTAAACCAAGAGAACTTTTAAGGAAGAAAATTAAATCAAGTAAAATGCAATCCAAAGAGTGTCTCTAGCAATAACGTATTAGGGGCCTACCGCCTATCAAGATTGCTATAGCTTATGATATTAATTTGTTATTTCTAACCGCCGAAGGTTTCCAAATACCTTACGCTAATTTTTGCACGCCTCACAACGCGTAAGCGTGTGGGGAGTGCTTTACTCTCGATAGGCCGCTATGTGACGATTTTACAATATAAAATCGCTCTTATCTCCCAAGTTAGACACTAAATCAATAAAAAAAACTAGACATATTAAATGATAAAGTTAGCGTATCTTTTCATTTATATTTTTAGTATATATAACAAAAAAATGTAGTTAAAAAATTATTAGTACTGCTGTCCGTTGGTCTGTGCACTGGTTTGTCTGCACGTTTTAGAACATATACGCAATTAATTGTAATAAATCCTTTTGAATTAATTTAATAAACACTTATACTGAGGATGAACCCTATTTCTTATCATGATTGACCTGACAACCGTTTTAAAGATATTAATGAAATTCAATGGAATTTCTTTACTGGGTTTCTGTTTCGTGAATGTGAGGCGTGCACTTTTGGATTTCCCAAATTTTTTCTTTAAAATTGCTATTAACAATGCAAAAGAAAAAACGAGCATTTGAAAACCTTTTTTAGCTATAGCCATAGCAATCCCGCTAGGCGGTGGGGCCCCTTTTTACCTTTTTGGGTTCCTTCTTGAAGGCGAGTTTGGTCTGCTTCAGTCCGTCCTTGTCTGGCTTCTCCGGTTTTTCTTTTTCCACTTTCTCTTTCTTCACGCGCCCGCGCGGTTTCTTCTCGCCACTGGATGGACTGATTCCCGTTGGATCTTCCTGTAATTTATAGCAATAATCAAGTTATGATTTGGTAACATAATTATAGCATTAAATAAGTTATGTTTAGCTTAAGAGCTTAGTGAGAAAGGAATATTATGTCATCACTGGTGTCGATTCCGACATGATTCTCTCTAAACCTAAACTTAAATTTGACAACAGTGTCCGAATCCGAATAGTATGCGAGTGCGAAATGTCAATGTCAAATTTTGTATGGAAATTAGAACACCAGCGCCATAACGTACGTAACGAGAACTAAAAATCAGTACACATTTGGTAATGAAATTTCGTATTCGCAAACGATACGAATTTGATATTGGTTCGTGCTAAGAGTACTGAATGAAAAAGAGAGACTGATATAAAATTTAGCTTTAAGTTTAGAGAATCATGCCAGAATTGACACCAATGTAAATGTAAGTAAATTTTTACTTTGCAAATGCGTGAAATAAAGTCTGTTAGTTACAATTTTGCTGATTTTCACTATAAACATGGAGGGAAGTTCAGAAAAGACCTTATGCTGCTTTAAAAGCGTACATGAAATGAGAAAGGGGTGAAAATTTTTTTTTAGGATTTTTGGGATACTGATAGTTGTACCAAATCACTGGCACCCATAGTGTGTTATAAATATATTGTTATTATTTCTCTGAAACAATTGCAATGAGCAGCTAATCTATCAATATTTGTATCAATGAATTCATAGTCACTAGCATTATAGTAATTAGAGGGATTGCAACTATGTACTTTATTTTTGTAATGCCCTGATATTTCGCCACCGTTGCAAGCGCCATGATCACAGAGTAATGTTACTCAATTGATTTATGAACTCATTGATTGTATGTGTGAAATAACCGATTATTGTAATCAAACCAACCGGATCATATTCCTTCTTGATCTCCTTCCTGGTCTTGGCCTTCTCCGCAGCCTGGATCCGCTTAATGAGATCTTCGGATATCTTGGGCTCAACCCGTCTCCCGTTCTCTGATGGTGCGATGTCCATTAGAGATTTACGGTTCTTCTTCGAGGCATTCTATGAGAAAAGATTAAAATAAATACTATAAATATTATAAATGTGAAAGTTGCTATATTTGTTACTCAGTACAGTACAGTAAAGCTACTGAACGGATTTGGATGAAATTTAGTACACATACGAGTATAGTTTATGACCTAGATTGCGAGACATAGGATACTTTTTATACCGAACAAATGACAGGTTCCTGTGGGCTTCTCAAAAAACTAAAGTTAATGTAGACGAGGTCGCGCGCTAGTATATAATAATTTTACCACTTAACATTTTGTTACACAATAATCTGGAACCCTGCCCTCTGGAAAAAGTTACCCTGAGGACCAAAGACAGTGCCCTCTCCACTATTACATATTAAAAAGTATTGTAGTAAGGGTTTAAGTACGTACTATCTAGTTACAATTAAATACATTCGGCGTTTAGTTAATGGGCTTTCAAATGACACCATTATTGGTAGAGGTAAATGCGTGTGTTAAGGGTTATAATAACGATATTTTTGACACCATATAAAAATACCTATGTCTAGACTTTTTTATAGATAACTAGCTGAGCCAACGTATTACGTATCGCCATAAATATATGGGTGGTAGAAGGGTGAAAATTAAGGGTTCTATGTATTTCTGAATGATGTATCTTAAAAAAATAAAAATAAAAATATCGTCCAAAAAAATATTATAATTTAAGTGGACCACCTTTAACATTTAGGGGGATTCTCAGACCTACTGAATATGCATATAAAATTTCACGAAAATCGGTCGAGCCGTTTCGGAGCAGTTCAATTACGCACCCTGTGATCAAGAATTTTAAATATTAGATTAATACAAAAAAGGAATGTTTGGGAATATTGTGTTTAAAATATTTCTATCATTAATCTTCTATACTTACCTACATTAATTATATTTATAGATAAACAACAAATTCAAATCAACAAAATTCAACTCACCTTCATTCTGTCCATCTTTTAGATGCAATGTAAAAGTAGATAACATAAATTTCAATGAAGCTCAATTAACAATCAATATTATAGTAATCCAATCTCAGTGTATTGGATAAAGTTATTATTTAGAACATTATTAGTGCTTTTCTATTATTATAAAAAAAAAACTATTTAAAAATCCTGTCCGTTACAGTTCTAAACACTCCCCAATTCGCTCTAGGCCATGGGGTGGTGGGTAGTGTTGCCAGGTGTCCCGAATTGCGCGGGATGTCCCGATTTTCAGGGGTCTGGGGACGCGTCCCGCTAAATATCCCGATTAATCAAAAAAATAATTTAGGTAATTAATATAATACTCTACTTGCACTAGTAGTTTAAAACGCAATAAATTAAACCCAGACATAAAGACCCCTTGTCTTTTGTTTACTGTCCCGAACTGCAACCCTAAATCTCGATTGTTTTGAGCTCATCTACCGATTTAAAACAAATCGGATCTGGCAACACTAGTGGTGGGTCACGTCACACCTATCTCTCTATTCCATCCATATCGAAGGCCTGTGCCCCAGCAATGGGGAAATAAATGGGCTAACGGTGAATACTCCATTTTGATCATCCAGACTAGTGTATGATATTTTATATGCTGGTAAGAATTTTCACTCTAATAATATTCTGTGGTTTCCTTGTCATCAGTCATTACACAATAAAACACACAATAATATACACCGTGAACTTTTAGCTACCTGAGCAACTTTTATAGTTAATAGGGGTGATGACGGGGTACAGTAAACGAAATTCTATTTAGTCCGTCAGTTAGATGAGCAAAAAATAATGGACATGTATTTTTTCTTTGGGCAATCAACCAAAAAATGTCTAAGTTATAGCGCGTCAAAGTTTGGGAGTAGGGGCTCGTGACGTCACTTTTAAGTGAAAATTGTACCAAAACGTGACGTCATGCGACTTTTCAAATCAATATATCTCTCCAATATTTATATTATGTGAAAAAAGAAAAAATACGTGTCCAATACTTTTTGATAATCTACCTGATAAACGAATAAAAAAAAATCAAAAAGTCATCATCCCTATTCGGACAACAATTTAGATTATATTACCAAAAGGCAATTTTTTCATTTTTTTTTTCGAAAAATGTCTACACATTAATTAACTCACTAATTGTACAATTATGGGACCTTAACAATTGTAATTGCCATAAATTGATTGAAATAAAACTACTTTTGGGAACTGCATACTTTAAATGGATAATAATTCGATAGTAGGTATGTATTAAGATATTTTGTAAACGCCATTACTCAATATTTTTGTATGAGGGTGTAGTGCGTGTACTGTTTATACTTAAAATTATTTGCACTATTTTTATATACACGATTTTTAAGTCAGGTAACTCAAAATTCACACGTTTATATCCCACCAGCAGTGGGTAATGGCACCAGTAATTAATAGGCTGATGATAAGGCTACTTACAAATGCCTTGGCCGACTTCTTGTTGGTAGAGGACTCTTCGCTACGTTCCTTCTCTTCCACTTCTTCCAGTTTCATGAGTAAAGCGTCCAGATCGTCTCTCCAAAGCAGCGATGGAGTTTTCTGTCTGAAAATTAAATAATAATAAATATTGATCTTTTTTCATTTTGAGGAGCCAATGGCGCAAGTGGTAGCGTTAGTCGGCTGCGATCGTTGAAGTTAAGCAACTTTCGCAGTGGTCGGTCATTGGATGGGTGACCAAAAATTTACTATCTCGAGTTCCTCCGTACTTCGGTAGGCACGTTAAGCAGTCGGTCCCGGCTGCATCTGCAGTCGTTAGCACCCACCAATCCGCACTGGGCCCGCATGGTGGATCACGGCTCAATCTCCCTTTTCCATCCATAGGGAAGGCCTATGCCCCAGCAGTGGGGACATTAACAGGCTGATGACGATGATACCTAAACCAACTATTGACTGCACAATCACTTTATCTTCCTCACACTTACTGCCCAATTGGATTACTGTTTACTGATTATGTTGGTTACTTCACAGTTGGACAATTAATACCTTACACAATACCCTACGTCACCCTACGTGTATACGCGGACCTAGTTACATAAAAAAAAGTTATAAATTTACTTGAGTGCCGCCAATTCTGCCAATTTCTGGTCTCGTTGCTTGAGCAATTCGTCCTTCTTCTCTTTGGTGAGCATCCACATGGACATTCCCAGGAGATAGTTGAATTTCTTCACCTCCTTCAACTGCTCGAATGCCTTTTCTGAACAACGACAAGCAAGATAATGTCAGTTAGTCAATTATTGTACAACTTTTACACCCAAACATAAATACTTACTTTAAGCCTCTATGAAATTAACGGCGCGAATACACTTGGTCGTTAGCCCGAATACGATTGCCAGTGGAATTCGGGAAAACGACAAGTGTAAATGAACGGAGTCGAGTATGCCCGTATTCTGGTACATTTCCTTTTGTTTCGGGTAAACCCGTTTTTGGCACCGTCTTCCAGCCCATATTCCAGTGTAAATATTGCTTTGGGTGCCCAAATAAAAGTAATGTTTTTCGTGTACCCGAATACGGGCTAAGGACCAAATGTAATTGCGGTTTTATAGGAAAGATGATGACGGGGTAAAGTAAACGAAATTCTATTTAGGCCATCAATATTTTTTTTTTTTTAAATAATGGACACTTATTTATTCTCTTGTCAATCAACCAAAAAATTACATAGATAATACGCGTCAAAGCTTTGGGAGTCACGCGTGAAGCCACTTCTAAGTAAAAAATTTACCGAGATGTGACGTCATATGAAATTTCAAATCAATATATCTCTGCAATGTTTTGATTGTTAAAATAAAGACTTTTTAAATCTACTTGTTTGTCAAAGAAAAAATGTTTGTCCCTATAGACTTTGTTATTATAATCCGGTTTCCAACTCACCAGGGTCCACAGGTTTCCCCTTTTCCTGGACTTCAAGCTCTTCATCAGATTCTTGAGCTTCGTCTTCTTCTAATGCAGTCAGCCCTTGCATTTTGCTCGCTCGTTTCTTCCATTCCGCAATAGGGTCAGGGGCATATCCTAAGAAAATAAGACTTTTGGTTGTAGAATATCATCAATATGAGCACTGAATACATTTATAATCCTAACTAATATTATAATTGCAAAAGGTAGTTTATTTGTTGGTTACACTACTTGCTAAAACTACTGTACGGATTTGGATGAAATTTAGTACTCATATAGTTCATGACCCGGTATGTATGAGTCATAGTATATTTTTTATCACGAAAAAATTATACGACTCTGCAGGAATTTAAAAAAACTAAATATAATGCAGACGAAGTTTCGGGCGGCCGCAAGTTATAAAATATCATCAATAATAATACTGCATTACCAACAGAATTTATGTGTAATTCTCCTAGAGATGTAATCGGAAACGTCGACATTGTTATCGCAAAGAAAGTGACAACATCAACTTTAATCAAACTTAAAGGTTAATTAAATTCTCAATGAATGTAACCTATATAGGTAACATCGCCATTGTGTAGTTTTCTTTAAAAAACACACAAAGATTAATATAGTGTTTTTTCGCAAATAAGGATAATGTGACAAATGTTGGAAAGTGTCAAGAGATGTTGGAAGAAGCAAAAGTGTCCTACACACATACACAACAACAAACAAACATGATCTGTCTGGTTTTTATTGTTCTTAATCAATTCCAATCTATATGTTGTAATTTATTCTTATAACTCATTAATTTAAATAACAAGATGATGTGATAACAGTTAACACCTATCGCTTCCTTATTTAAATATAATGCGATTCAAATAAAAATAGGATCGACTGGGTGCCATATTGTGACGTAATAGCTGTCAATTCAATAAGTAGAGTGAGCAAATAAAAGTTTTTATTTAATAAAACTTATTTATTAAAATTAAGAGAGAAAAACATGACACATTTTTAATAAAATTTATTTACTATGATTGAAAAAAAAACAACCGATTTTAAATAATATTGATTTAGTAAGACTGTGTGAGAAAAAAAGTTAATCAGAATCTAGCTCTTCAATTCCGCTCATCTCTGCTTTACCACCGGAGTAGTTATGAATAATCATGCACTATTACTAGGCCACATACGAACATTTAAATATACGAAAGTTTTAAATCGATTTTCTGTACACATCTTAAAGTGAGGCATTGTCCTAATACAACGCGATAACGCGATCATCGCGCGATTAAACGATGCGACCATCGCGTGATCGCGAACTGGGTGTCCTAATAGAACGCGAATACGGAACGGGTTAGTCCTGCCCCTCTCCCCGCTTCCTATCGACGCGACGCGATCATCGCGCGAACTTCAGTTAGGACACCTATTCATCATTAATAGGTTTAAATGCGCGTTCGCGTGAACTAAGTTCGCGCGAATAGATTTTTAAACATTTTAGTGGCGCGAATGCATCGCGCGATCGCCTATTAGGACACCTATTCTAGATCAATATGTTTGATCGTCGAATCGTACGATGATCGCATCGCTCATTCGCGTTATCGCGTTGTATTAGGACAATGCCTGACATTTAGTTGACGATTTAGGTTATCACATTCATAGGCAAAGCTAAATAAATGAAAAAAAAATCAACCATTATTAATTATCAATATTTGTTATTGTTTATTTACAAATGCTATGTTTTTATTCTAGAATTAGCCGAGTGCTAAAAAAGGATTCAAAGGTTTTTTTGCAAACCGTACTTTTCGCACTATAATCTTATTGTTTTAAAGTTTTGTAGTATTGAGGAGCTCAATGGCACAAGTGGTTAGCGCGTTCGTCTGCGATCATTGAAGTTAAGCAACTTTCGCAGTGGTCGGTCATTAGATGGTTGACCAACAATTTACTATCTCAAACTCCTCCGAGCTTCGGAAGGCAAGTTAAGCCTTCGGTCCCGTCCTATTCGGTGTATCTGCAGTCGTTAGCACCCACCAATCCGCACTGGGCCCGCGTGATGGGTCATGTACCAATCTCTATATTCCATCCATAGGGAAGGCCTGTGCCCCAGCAGTGGGGACAATAATAGGCTGATGATGATGATTGGTTTAAACATGTCTTGTCTGAAAATAAACAAATGTAATTCACTAACTTACCCCTCTTAATGAGTTCTTCCACCATAGCCTTCCTCTTCTTGTTTTCAACGACTAATCCCTTATCACACTTCTCCAATATGAACCTGGCACGATTCGAAAGCATATCCGCTTCCGCTTGCAACTGTCCTTCTAGATAGTCCTTACGACGAGAGTAGTATTTGAGACGGAGATCGTAGAACTGCCTTAGAATTTCCTCCACTTTTTCGTATCTGTTTTAATTCAAATCAAATGAGATATTAAAATGTTACATTGAACAGTCTATATCAGTACCAATTGTCACTTAATGCTAGCATTTCCAATGACTATTTGTACTTGCTATTCAAAAATTTGACAACAACCTCTCCTTTTCATTTGCTATTGAGAGCAATAAGGATAAATTGATGTTCAGTTTACAAATTTCAAATATGATTAACCATGTGAAGTTCCAGTATTAAAATATGTAAGACAAATTAAGTTACATTATATTTCTGAATATTATAATGATCGCAAAGAATGGAAAAGAAAACCAAAAACATCCCAAATAATTTGAGAGCAGAACAGGCGAATAATGAGTAAGAAATATTCACTATTGTTATAACTTTTTTGTATATTATTAACCAGAATATAAATATTTAAATATAGCTAAGTTAACAAATAGAAATGATAAGACAATTTCTGACAAGATCTAATAAATCTAATATTCTGAGTTCCTGACAAGCCTGTCTGTATGCCCCAATGATATTAAATTTATCGACGTCTTGCTGGTACAGAAGGTACTGTATGGCAATTATTTAAAAAAAACGAGTGTGCTTATGACCACACGACTGAAGAGAAACTTCCATATATATATGTGTGTGTGTGTAAAATATATACATGTATGTACATATACATATTTCATTTACTAGCTATAAGAGAAAGAGAGAAAGAAAATGTGCGCGCGCACTGCTCTTCTCTTGCTTCTATCCCCCACTGAACTCCCGTTCGCCTCGCCCGAACACACTTTTCATAACGCGTAACGCATTCGCCAGCTCACCCCCCAAGAGTCAAACGTGCGTAAAGAAGTTTCACTTCAAAAAATGTGCCTTTTTAAAAATAATAAACATAAATAAAAGTTTACTAGAAAAAAATCCACGCGGACCAGGCAACAGACGGCGAAGAGATGGCGCTGCCTTGCAGCCTAAGGCTAGAGAAAATTCGACACGGCCGTCAGGGCCGCGGTAGCATAATGGTCAGTGCATTCGCCCGGATAGCGAAGAGTGCAGGTTCGAGTCCCGTCTGCTGCCTGGTCCGCGTGGAATTTTTTCTAGTAAACTTTTCTTCAGATTTAAACATCTAGCAGTTAAATGCTTAAAAAATAAAAAAACATAATAATAAACATACTTGTTCAAACAGTTGTTGTGATCGAACGCATTCATGCACGTTAGCGATATAGTAGTCTGCAATTTGAACACTTTGTGGATTCCTTCCGCTTCCACTTCAGACAATTTGCCGGGCAGTAAGGTCACTACAAAACGTACTGTTGTGTCTGTGTTGTATTCCTGTTGACAATGGTTAACAAATAAAACAAATCTTATATTTTAAGCATTAAACTGCTAGATGTTTCAATCTACAGAAAATATTAAAAAAAACACGATTTAAACATTTAGCAGTTAAATGCTTAAAAATATAAGAATAATTTCTATCTCTTCTTTCAAGTGTTTAATATACCAAAATTCAACATTATGGTATAAAGATGATGATCAATTTTAGGTAATAATAAATTAGTAAAAATAGGTATCTTATAACTATGAAGTTATAAGTTACTTTTTATCCTAAAAGTATAACCTGTAGTGGGTAAAAAGGCAAATGGAATATTTATATGGAAAACCTATTAAAGCACGCATACGAAGTCGCACACATTTGTTAGTATCATCTAACACACAATATACTCGTTGCCAGCAGAAATCATAGACGCCAAGACCATTTATACGTATAAAAAATGATTGAAGGAACACTACCTTTCTACCTGAATTTCTAGAACTTTATTGCTTCTCCTTGTTACTATTTATTTATTTTATATTAGTATATATGTATTAATTTATTTGTAAATATTGTATATATATATATGTATTGTATGTTTATGCATATAAAGTATTATGTTATATTTATTCAGAAGTACACACTGACTGTCTTTTTTATGTTCTTTCCTTTCGCGGGCCTGCTGGAAGAAATTTCAATATGAAATAAGCAGTGCCCTCTTGTTGCTCTTTTTTCAAATATTTTGTTGTGTGTGTACAAAATATATAAATATTAGTCTTCATATTAAATATTCTCCCACTTACCCTATATTCAGATATAAGAGGCTTCACTTTATCCGTGCCCAACATCGGTTCGAGCACATTCTCCTTATAGTTCTGCGTCCAAACGCCGACCGGAAGTTCCGTGATCTCAATCTTCTCGTTGGGCAAGATGGCCGCCTCGCCGGAAATGACGTACTTATCGCCGTACCCTTCGACGCTGCCGCGGAAGTTCTTGTACCACGGATGCATCGGTTTTGGTTCTTCGCCGTCTAACATTCGACTGTGGATCAAAATAAATGTTTCATATTTATAGTTTGTTGAGAAATTTAGGTTACATAATAATATTTATACATGGCTATGTCAACTTTAAAACTTATGGTGTACATGAAAATAAAAGTTTTCTTATAATAAAGCCACTATTTCAAGTTTGCTCACCGTATATTCTGAACTATATCCCTCGGATTGTAGTTGGGTATCTTGGTGGACCAACCCGTACCGATGCCCTCGGCACCATTCACCAACACCATCGGGATGATGGGAAGGTAGTGCACAGGTTCAATCTTTTGGTTGTCTTCAAATTCGTGCTACAAAAGTTAACAATATATCAATAGCAACTACTGTGATTGTTTAAAGTTTTTGGAATAAAATAATAATTTAAATAGAGCCAAATTCTCACTTAATCTTACTCTCACTAAGCAAGTAAGATCATCAAAATGAACCAAAATACCGAACCATCTGCATCTGCAGTTAGCACACACCAATAAGCACTGGGCCTTCGTGGTGGGTCACAACAAAAGAGCATTACAACATCAAAGGCAGCCATGACAGCTGTCAGTGAAATGGAGCCTTCCTATTGGTCGAAAATTGAAGCTCAACTCACTTGGACTTTGGTATGTTTGTTTGTAAAGTCAATTTTCAATTTGAAATAACAGTCGAGATTTCTAGAATTAGTATATGATGTATGTATGGGATAAATATAGATACGGAAATGAATGTGTTGTAATTAAATCTCACTTTTAAAATTTTGTGGACTTTACCAAGTTCGATTGTATACCCCTGATATGATACAATAACAAGAAACACTCACCACAAGCAGAGGGTCGTCGTGCGGATGGAATATGAGCCTTGTGAGCGGCGACATAAGGGTGAAAATGTAACGGGGGCTGGCCGAGTCCTTGCCCCCGCACAAACGCGTACCGAACTGACCGCGCGGCTCTAAGAGATTGATGTTGTTCGATCCAACGTAGTTCTGGGCGAGATTCACAATCGTCATCGCGAGGGATTGCTCACCTGACGAACAAAAATAATAGCAATAATAATAACATTTCCCAGATTCACACCAATAGCCTAGCCCCAAAGTAAGCACTGTAAGGCTTGTGCTATGAGATACTGGGGTAACAGATAGAATACATATATTTGATAAATATGTATAAATATCCATGACTAAGGTACTAATGCTTGTATTCATCATATTAACATTTGCCCCCACGCTTTGCAAGAAGCTTGCTACCTGTTTGTAGGCCCTAGAGTAGGCAATTGAATTGAATTTGGCTAATTGGCATATTTAAGAAATATTTATAGAACTAGAATGCGTCGATTATCGTGTATAATCAACGATATTAAATACCCTAAATACACCACGTGCGCTCCAAATGTATCCCAATCAAGAAGTGCTTGAACACCACTCAAGCACTTCTTGGTTCACAGTCACACGCGGACCGTTGAAAAGTCAACATGCCGCAGAGCTCCGTGAAAAAATACGAAAAAAAAATATCTTATAGTTAGACCAGGGTCGATAATCTTTGAGACCAAAAAAAATTATAGCAGGATGAAACCCATTAGAAAAGGTATAGAATATAACAAAAATGAAAGGAAAAATAAATTACGGGCGATCTGAGGTCGGGAAGGGGGAGGGGGTGAGTTTTTAAGGGTAAAAAATGATTAATCTCGATTTCCGGTAAAACTGCAAGTCCTATGAAAAAAAGTTAAATGGCAAAGTTGTAGGTAATAAAAAGATCTACAACTTTTGTATCGACACTTTTTTCACATAACCTCAAAATTTATGTGAAAAATGCGAATAACCGAGTTTATGGTTTTTGATTTTTATTTTTTGCAAAAAAAAATATTTATTCACGAAATTTGGTGAAAACTTACCTTTGTATGTCTTAAACATACAGTAATTTTTTTGATTTAAAATATTCATTTTTTCACCTTATTATGACTTAATATCGAAAAAGCACCCTTATATTCAATCGAAAATTCTCACGTCAAAATATCTGCTTTTTTAAAAAAGTTGGGGTGTTTTTTGTTTGTTGAAATCTCTACTTTCTGATGGTATAAAAAAATATACACTACTATGGTAAATGTTCTCAGAAACTGCAAATTAATAATGAAAAATACTCCAATCCGAAAAATTGATTTGAATCATTATGTATAATTTTGAACTATTTATTAAAATTTACACTTTAATTACTCGAAAAACGTAAGATTTCATGTTATATTGATAAACAGAAAAATTACAAATCCATAAAACATGCAAAAATAGTTGTTGTAAGTAGGTATTAAAAATAGGATTTTCGGATTCGAGTTTTTTTCATTATTAATTTGCATTTTCTGAGAACATTTATCATAGTAGTGTATATTTTTTTTTATACCATCAGAAAGTAGAGATTTCGACAAACCAAAAAACAGCCCAACTTTTTTAAAAAAGCAGATATTTTGACGTGAGAATTTTCGATTGAAAATTAGGGTGCTTTTTGGATATTACGTCAAAATAAGGTGAAAAAATGAATATTTTAAATCAAAGAAATTACTGTATGTTTGGGACATACAAAGGTAAGTTTTCACCAAATTTCGTGAAAAAATATTTTTTTTTTGCAAAAAATAAAAATTAAAAACCAAAAACTCGGTTATTCGCATTTTTCACATAAATTTTGAGGTTATGTGAAAAAAGTGTCGATACAAAAGTTGTAGATCTTTTTATTACCTACAACTTTGCCATTTAACTTTTTTTCATAGAACTTGCAGTTTTACCGGAAATCGAGATTAACCATTTTTTACCCTTAAAAACTCACCCCCTCCCCCTTCCCGACCTCAGATCGCCCGTAATTTATTTTTCCTTTCATTTTTGTTATATTCTTTACCTTTTCTAATGGGTTTCATCCTACTATAATTTTTTTTCACTTTTCACCATTTTTAAAATTATCGACCCTGGTCTAAGTACGTAAAGTGTCGTTTTTTCGACGGGTACCTAATCAATGTTTGTTAATTTAATGCATTGGAAGCAAATTTTGTTCTAATACTTACTATAAACTGATTTAATAGAACAACTTTGTGATATTCAAATAGATGGTCGGTAATATAACCGTCTCTTTTGCTCGGGGTCCGTACCTGCTATTTTGCTAACAGCGCACTTAGAATTGCGCAAAGAAATAAGGTCTATATTCTTCCGCATATAGCAATAAGTCGTAAAATAAAGAGTTTGCGTTTCGAACTGTGATAACTCTTTGACGCATGCGTTTTAATTAAGACCTTATACAGTATACATTAAAGATGTCTTTAAATGTTTAAATAATGCCTTATATTGTTTTTAACTATGCGATAATCTTACAGAGCTCGGTGGATCGTCCAATGTACCTTTTGTACATGTTTCGGCCACGATTTTGTTCGTGATGTTGTATCTAGGGTATTGAATATCGTTGTATATAATATAAAAGTCCAGTTAGCCTATTTGTTAACTTTTTTTAAATTTCTACTGTTTATAAAGAATACCTGTTTTGTAGTGGCTATCTACGCGAAATTGGCGGAATTGCGGGTAAATCCCCGTTGAGCCATTAAAAAAGATAGAAGAAGTAGAGAACTTTTTTGACATTTACAGTGTGTAACTATATCATAGTGGCATTATAATAAAACAGTAGTGAATCAGTAAATAGCTTGATGATTAGCATTTCCATCTGTCAAACACAGTTAAAGAACCAACCTACAGTGTCTTGAGATTCTGCAATATATGGATTACTCACCGTGGTGATAAGCAGAGTGCTCTGCAACGGACCCCGCTAATTGTGCAACCTTCACTTCACGCTTGTCGTTACGTTTGATGCACGTGAATATCACCTTGCGCTGCCCTGGCTTCAGCCCGTCTATCATCGATGGAATTGATCTGAAAAGAGGTTATTACAGAATACTCTTCTAATTTTTCGTTTTTCTATGGTGTAAGATACAATAAAGAAGTCAAGGTATTAAATTGCTTGAAATTTATGGGCTTCATGCACACAATCCAATGGTAGAAATGACATGTTACTATTTAGTTTGTAAAGATTTAAAATTCAAATGTATTTTACTAGTAGCCTTCTTATTATTATTATGTTATATTTGAACACATATTTGCTTATTATATCTTCCACATTATATCTTTTGTCTATGATAAAAGGGCTATGTTATCTGTTTTTCACTCATATTTAATATTTAACAATAATATTGCAAATTACAAAAATTCATTTAAAATCTGTAGATTATTTTGCATAAATAAAGTTAAACTCACCTAACATTGTCACCATTTGAAAACAGAACCAATTCCAAATTAACAAAGTCAGAGTAAGACACAGCTTTTGTGTCTTTTGTATATAAATATCTTTCAGGAAGTCCAATTTCCTTCCTTCGTTTCACTTCGTCCATGTGGTTAGTCAACCACTCTTTACGTTGATCAGCTCCCTTTTTGGAGAACGCTAGTTCAATGTGATGATCATCTGTGGGACCACCATACTTAAACCTAATCCTATGCCTTTCCATGTTCTGGAAATATTCTTTAGCCTCTTTGGATGTGGAAGTACCCAAACCTTTGTAGTATTTGATATTGTAAGTGTGATGATTTTCTGTATCCTTCTTCCATTCCTCAAATTCAGGTAATGAGTAAAAAGATATCTCTTTGTCTTTTTTAGTTGCTTTAACAATGGGTGTGATGAATTCTTCCAAAAATGGCAGTTTCAATAACTCTGGCCAATTGTGATGAACGAAATTGATAATCAACCCTTTAATGTGAGATCCGTCCTGATCTTGATCAGCCATTATCATAACTTTACCATACCGTAATGACTTCAAGTCATCAATGGAGTTATATTTCTTTTTATATGTTAAACCAATGATTTTAATCAAATTGTTGATTTCTAGGTTCTCTAAAACCTGCTTGTGTGATGCATCTCGCACGTTTAAAGGCTTACCCTTCAATGGAAAGACACCATAATGGTCTCTGCCGACAACACTAAGTCCAGACACAGCCAAAGTTTTAGCTGAGTCTCCCTCAGTCAGAATAAGAGTGCAAAGATGAGAATTTTTCGTCCCAGCATCATTGGCATCTTCCAACTTTGGGATGCCCTTAAGTTTACTTTGTTTCTTACCAGATGCTTTCACTAGCTCTGTCTGTGCTTTGAATTTGGCCCAAGTTAAAACAGACTCGACCAAACCAGATTTGCTGACTGCAGTTATGAATTTTTCGGAGAGGTTGCATTTAGAGCCAAAGCTTTTTGCTTGTAGGGTCATATTTTCTTTTGTTTGTGAATCAAAGGTTGGGTTCACTATGAGACAATTGATAAAAACCCACATATGAGTTTTCACTTGGAAAGGCTTTATCATTACTCCACCTTTATTTTTCTTCTTAATCACTTCAAGAACACTTTTAACAATACTGTCAGAAACTGAATCAACATGTTTCCCACCTTTAGTTGTGGCGATGGAGTTAACAAATGATACTTGTTGGAATCCTCGATCAGATATAGTCAGTGCGACCTCCCAGCGGTCATTCACTTTCTCATAAACTACTTTCAATGGTTGCCCATTCTCATCTTCTTTACCTTTTATGTATAAGTCTACATAGTCCTTAAACTTATTTATTTTTAGTCTTTCACCATTCAAATATACCTTTACACCTAGTGAAGAGGCAGCAACGTCATAAGCACGTCGTGACATCAGTGATACAATGTCATCTTCTAGCTTTTCCATTTTGAATTTAGCCAAGTCAGGGCTGAAAGTCACTTTAGTAAAATCATCATCTTTACCAGATTCTTTAACCTTAGGTTCTGAAGCTTTTGTCATATTAGATCCCCAAGTCTGTTTGAAATGTTTCTTGTACTGCTTTGATGCAGTTTCTACCGTGAATTTAGTAGAGAAAATATTACACAATTTGGCACCATAACCATTTCTACCACCGGTCACTTTTTCTTCCTCGTCATTGTAGTTAGATGATGTCAGTAAATGTCCAAATATCATAGTTGGAACATACATTTTCTCTTCTTTATGCATTACCACAGGTATGCCACATCCATTGTTGTATACTGAAATAGTATTCTGTTCTTGATTGATGTCAATTTTAATAACGTCCATTTTGGGGTCCCTTTGTTTGTTGTCAGCAGCATTCACTAAGATTTCATCATAGATTTTATATAAACCTGTAAATGAAGGTAACACACAAATGTTATTTTCAAAAAACTATTTACGGAATCCTTATATTAAAACAAAAAGGGAAGATACGGTACGCCTCAACTCATAAGCAACTCTCACCCACCCACATGTCAGTAAATAAACATTCATTTGAGCGAGCCAGACAGACCTGTATATGTATGTTTTAACGCAATGTAAGAGAAATTACGAGTCCGCACCCGAGTCTGTACGGCTGAGGTGTATTGTTGATCCTTGAAAATGGCGATTACGTAAATAAGATTCAGGGCAAACTGTGATTTTAGAGAAAAAAAAATGCTTTTACAGTTTTACAAATGAAAAGTGTTGCGGAGGCATTTGTTATTTGATTTTGAATTATTTGTGTTCTTTATAAAAGCATTGAAGACATTGTTTTATCTTTATAACACAGAATATACGCAATATTGTTATATTGTGTGCACATACAGCGTACATGAATGTCCAATTGTGACTAAAGCGAATTGTGGTCATGCACCACAATTTAAGCAGATCACTTTAGAGCCGTGAGGGCCGTCTCTTCCCATTTAGTTTTAATCTAAGACTCAATCATAAAATAAAACCCTGAGAATATAACCAAATATATTGAATGAAGATCATTACCTGGAACATAAGTCAATTCTTTCTGTACCATGCACTCTTTTGTCTTGTCAAACACCCACATAGTCTCCGTTGCACGCTCAACGGATCCAATATATGTGTCAGGTCTGAGCAGAATATGCTCTAATTGTGACTTTTTCTGATATATCTTCTCAATTGTGCCTTTCTGGGTTTTGGCAGGTGGAGGCGCAGCCTCACTAGTACCATTTTGTGTGGCACTATTCATTTTGTTAAACATAGCCTAAAACATGATTTACATTTTATAAATTATTGTAAGACAGCGGAACCTGAATCATTTAAATAGAAGTTTAAGAATATTTACTGTTTGTGAAACCTTAATATTATTTACAATAAAGATTAAACATTTTTGTAACAAAATAAATGTCAGCTAACTAAAGGGGGTACTTTATCAATAGAAAATTAGAGGGTAGCTAAGACAATATTTTGAATGTACATAATTAAGTCTATAGACTGAAACTACACTACACCAGTAATTTAATAATAAAAAAAGGAATTTAGACTATTTACTGTAGCTGCATACAGTACAATTTTTTTATCCTTGTAAAATTAGAATGATTTACATCCAAGGCTGTTGTATCCCCACAAATGTTAAGCAGTAAAACTTAATGAAAAAAGACTATCGACATTATTAAGATTGATTTTTTTATAAAATATTCAAAATACACAAATTGACCGTTAGCAGTTAAAATGCCGCCAATTATACATACCTTTATATCAGCCATCTTGGCAATATTACTTTTTAGACGAATGCGATCAACGCTAAACACTCCTTGTTTTGCAACCAAGACAAAACATAGGCTACAATTCTTTATTTTGGCAAAGAAACATTTTAATTAATAATAAATTAAACAATAAAGCCACGGCAAAACAGTCGCTATATGCTGAAGACGCCGAAGATCACAGACTCAGAAGATTAAACACCATAAACAAAAGACAACACAAACCTCAAAGATGCAACCACAGACTACAGCTGTATATAGTAGTCATGGAACCGATATATCATAACGTATCAAATATTTTTTATTTATACTTTTTTCCTAACGGTTATTATCATGAGTGAGTGGTAGTGGTGGTGGTAGTAATATAACAGATTATTGATATGCAATATACTAAAAGATTACTAGCTCAGTGCAATATGCAGTATTTAATTTTGACGTGACAACGTCTTAAATTAGGTTGCGGCTGGGAGTCACTTATGAAAAAGTGTAACGCTCGGTAACGTTACGATGAGTCTCGTAGCATGCTGGAACCCCGTAGCCGTGTAGCAAGTTTGCTACGAATCGTCGTAGCGTGGTTGCATGCTACGATGGTATTCACAAGCACAATGCATTGTAATATGTTTTTTTGACGTATTATATATATTTCTATAGTTAAAATTTGTGCAATTCTTATTTTCATTCAATTCCTTGTTCCTATTGTGCAATTTAATTATATTCATATCAATAAATATTCTACCGAGAAAAAGACGTTGTCACGTAAAATCTTCGCCCGTAAAACCGACTTTACAGGCAACCATTTTTTTTTTTAATCAGTAAGAAGTGTTTCAAATGTTGACCCTACCCTACTTCCAAATTACCGTCCGATTTCGTGATTTCGTATGAATCGGACATTATTTTTTACTTTTCATAAATGCTCATAAAATGAAAAATACTAGGCCAAACTGAATTAAAATTTCAAGGGAGTAAATGGTAACTATTTTGTAATGAAAAAAAAGGATTACGAAAATCGGATCAAAAATTACGTGTACATAACAAAAACATACCGACAAAATTTAGCACCTTTTTGAAGTCAGTTAAAGAAATTCACGTCAGAATTAATAGTTTTTGCACCGTAGCAAATGCTAAATGAAAAGAGTAATGTGAGGCCTGGTGAGAGATATAATAATAAGTTATATTTATGTGTTTTCAATTTCTTTAATAGTAAATCATGCATACAACACTATTTACACACAGGGAGATTTGAAGTTAATAACAAGTTATGCATATTATACTAATCAGATATGAATTTTCTTAAGCGACATCATCAGACTCGGCATCTATTAATATAGTAAAAGTTCGATAATGTAGACTAAAGTGTAGATTCTGGCATGAATCTCTAAATCTAAACTTAAATTTTACAGCAGTGTATCCTTGTCATTCTCTTTACAGAATAAAAAGGTCGGACTGATGTTAAATTTAGTTTTAAGTTTAGAGAATTATGCTAGAATCGACACCATTTTCAAAATTTTAAGTTTTTTGAAAAACTAAAAAAAGAACAAAAATTATAAGTATCAAATTAATATCACTACAAAATAACACAAAGTTATAAAATAGACCGAATTACCAAGTCAATAATCAAAGTTCACTTCACTTTTGGTAGATTTTTGTTGTTTGGGCGTGGGGTACCCCCGTCACGCCGTGCTCGCGCTCGGTATGGCAGAGTGCCAACGTCGCCGAGCGCACGTCTTTTGTTACACGCGGTTTGCGAATTGCATAATATCGATGGTATTATTATCAGTGATGCCGATTATATCGGTATCAGAATCGGTATCGTTACATCCCTAGTTTTAAAATTAGAGAATCATGATGCTTGAATCGACACTTATCTGATCAAGTTGACAGATTATAAAAAAATAAAAACGGTGTATTTTAATGTACAACACATAAAAGTTTATGCATTTATTTTAAAGTGTTCTATCAGTTTTAAAATATTTGGAAAATATTAATAGTGTAAAAAAATACCGCCAAATAAAACCATAAAAGATTGGTATCGCTGGTACAACATTACCTAGAAACTCATAGAGTCTGTGCGGAAAGACAATGGGCGTGGCGAAAAACGAAACATTAAGATTTTTATTTAGCAATCAAACTCAGAAATCTTTTTGTATTTAATCATGTCTAAAAGGGGTAAAACCTTACAAATACGGTAGAAAAGCACTACAGCGCCCTCCAACCTAAATCCCATTCTCTTTCCGCACAGAATCTATAACTAACTGGAATGCTTACAAAACAATATGGGAATTCAAAAAATGTACTTTAACTACTTAAACATAAAGTCCGTTTTTGTTTTACCTTCATAATAGGAAAAAATACTTCAAGCGGGACAACGACGGAAGTGGAATCTGTCCTTCTCTTGCAATTGTCAGTGTAAATCTCTTATCTATTAGACAAGTCCGTCCGTCCGTCCGTCTGTGGTGCTGTTTCAACGGCCAAACCGTAAGAGATAGATAAAGAGAATGTTTAAGTTATAAGTTAAGAATAGTCTGATAAGACTACAAACCGGATTTGAGTAACGTAGCACTTCCGGTTTTCGAGAAATCACGAATTTCAAACGAAATCACACAAAATCTCCGAAGTTCTCAATTAATTAAATACATTTTTTTTTAATCTGTTTTGGTGAACATTTGGTTCACTGGTTTGCTAGTAAAATTATAATCAAATGTTAGTTTTCACATCATCCCGATAGAAACCATTATTTTATAAGAACAAGAACGTACAATTTGAGAGTTAAATTAGCATTCAGGTTTTATTGCAGTTCGTATATTGATATCAATGCAACCAAAAATGTGTTCATTTTTATTGACGTGACAACGTCTTAAATTAGGTTGCGGCTGGGAGTCACTTATGAAAAAGTGTAACGCTCGGTAACGTTACGATGAGTCTCTCGTGTTAAGTTTAAGTTTACATGTACAATGTTTTAGTAAACAAAATATATTTCTATAGTTAAAATTTGTGCAATTCTTATTTTCATTCAATTCCTTGTTCCTATTGTGCAATTTAATTATATTCATATCAATAAATATTCTACCGAGAAAAAGACGTTGTCACGTAAAATCTTCGCCCGTAAAACCGACTTTACAGGCAACCATTTTTTTAAACAGATAACTTATCTAATAAAGTATAAGAGAAACCTACTGTCAAAATTACAAATATCAAACACGAATAGCTATCGGCTATTGAAAAAGAGAGACTGTTGTCAGGTTTACAAATAGCAAGCAAATGTGAATATTCATTCATGTGAATGAAGAGCCGGCAAAAATGAAAATGAAGTGACATACTGAAGAAAATTTTAGGTTAAGTGTGGTTTAAGTTAGTTTTCAAGAAAACAATTAAAGTGAAAAAATATAATGTCGTTATTATCCTATGCTTCCTTAGTTTTGAGAAGAAATGTGATTCCTAAATTCCCATTGAATAGTATTGGATTTGCTAATAAAGTAAAATATGTCTCAAATTCAGTGACAACAAAAACTGTTCACGATATCAATACGAATGTTATTAAAGATGTAATTCTTTTTCATTATGAAAACCCAAAGTTTTATATGTATATGAACATTTTTGCTGTAGTGCAGTATATGTTTTGGATGTATTTAGGCATTTTCTCATTTTCGTCGCTGCGTGACGCTCCCGTGGATGAGTCAAAAATTACTGATGATACACCTTGGTTTAGAAGGATAAATCTTGGTGAAAGTAAATACCGAAATGGATTGGGAATAGTTTCTGTCTCTGTTGGTAAGTTTATTCTACTGAGCAACACGATATTTCAAATATTTTTTCAAAAAGAATACTTGGATCAATTCAACTTAAATAAAGTGATCATGAAAAAATATTACGATTTTTGCGTATTTTTGCAGGGTGCGGTTCCCTAGCGATGATTTGGATGTACACATTGAAATCAGTTCGCTACTTAATTCTCCATAAAGGTGGAAGACATTTGTCATTTGTTACATACACTCCATTTGGTAAGAACCGTATTATGAAAGTGCCCGTAGAAAATGTTTGTTGTAAAGAAAACCGGGCCAGTGCGACAGTACAGCTGCCTCTCAAAGTGAAGAACACATGGATGCACTATATGCTTGATATGAGGGGAGAGTTTAGAAATCCAATGCTCTTTGACAGTACTGCTGGTTTAGCTAGAAAATGGTAAAGATCACTGTAAAATATTGTTCACAAATATGTATTTTCAGCCTGCCTAGCATGAGCACTGCAATATGATAAATAGCTCATTTTTATTAAAGCTCAATTGTAAAATTTCAATGGAGTTTGACAGTTAGCGATAAAAAACATGATATAATGTAAATTGTGGTGCTCATGCTATGGAAACTGGATAGAGTAATTAAAGCAAAGGAGGATATTATTAAATAATTGTGTTGTTTGTAATTTTATTGTATAAATGAACTTGTTAATATGGTAGTAAAACAGAGCTGTATTTATATCTTTGCATTTATTTAAACATTAGGTTGCTGCACTGACAGCACTCCTGCCTTCTGCTTTACAAGTCCTGGGTTTGGATCCTGTTGGACACATTTGTGTTACATTTTGTGTAATGAGCATATAAGAATGGCTTAACCTACTCTCCTTGATTTGGGACTAAACAAAGTTTTTTGTAGTATCATGGTCGATTTGAGACGAACTTCTTAGTGATACATGGATTTACCATGTCTTCTTCTTCTTCTTCACGGTGGGTGATTTCCGCAACTCGACACCAGGTGCCTATTTTGCGTGTGAGGATGGCCTTAGTCGTGCCATCCCAGCTCCCCCAAGAAGCTCAGCAGTCCTCTGATGTCGCCGCAGGCCTCGAGTAGCGTCTGCAGGCTGGCCAGGTGTGTCATCCGATGTCTGGTCACGCCTCTGCACTGCAGCAGGACGTGAGTGCTCGTCTCCTCTTCCTCCATGCAGGCTCTGCACAGAGGACTGTCCGAGACACCTATTTTAAACAGATGTTTATTAAAGTGTCCGTGTCCCGTGAGAATACTCACTATTTGTTTCAGAGCATGTCTTGGTAACTTGCAAAACTTACTTGCTAGCCTTGGGTCTACCTTAGGTATGGCCTCCCTGGCGTGCCAGCAGTCTGCAAGCCCAGTATTCATTGTGTAGTCGCAGGTACCGTTCCCTAATCCAACTTCGCAGCAGCCGGTATGGGATCGGTACGATTGGTTCTGGGCCATATACCACAGTGTCCGACCCTCTCCTGGCCAGACAATCTGCTGCATCATTGCCCCTTGACCCACTATGTCCTTTTATCCATTGGAGTATGACCTCGTTTTCTCTGCCTACCTCCATGAGTTTGCAGTGGCATTCAAAAACCAAGCCGGACGTCATTACATTGTTGTCTAGCGCCTGGAGTACCGAGGCACTGTCAAAGAGTATCTGGAAGTTTCTACCCCTGATTGCACGTTTTGTGATGGCCTCCGCTGCTCTGACAATGCCTATACACTCCGCCTGAAAGACCGTATTGAGGATGCCCAGGCTGTCTGATATATGAATGTTGATATCCTCTGAGAACACACCTGCACCAGTACCTGAGTTGGTTTTGGAGCCGTCTGTGTATACCCTCAGCTCCTTGTGTAGTCCTCGGTCAGGATTGTCTTCATATAGTTGTATTCTATATTTTTTGTCAAATACATACTGTCTAGGGATGATGTCGTTTCTCGCCATGAAGAAGGGGTATTCTTCCTCAATGCCTTTTAGAATACGTGTATGTGGCGTATTGTAGTCTCTCCGCAAGCCTAGCATATGGAGCCTAGTAGACGCACATGCTGCTTCTTGCTGGATGTAGAAATGTAGTGGTCTTACGTTCAGAATTGTCTCAAGTGCTGCAGTAGGGGTGGTTTTCATGCAGCCCGTTATAGCCCGGCAGACCCTCCCTTGGAAGCACTTAAGTTTGTCTATGGTTGTTACCTGTGTTGTCTTCGTCCACCATACAAGCGCTGCATAACCTATGATGGGTCTTATTATTGTCGTGTATAGCCATTTTGTTATAAAGGGGGATAAGCCCCACCTCTTACCCAGCATCCTCTTCCATTGGTACAAAATGATGCAGGCTTTCTTAATTGTTTTGTCAATATGTGTTCCCCAGTTGAGTTTGGCGTCTAGATTTATGCCTAAATACTTTACCTCCTTTGAGAAACACAGCGTCTTGCCGAATAATACTGGCATGCGGTAGCTGCCCAGGTTCCTTTTGTTGGTGAACAGAACTAGTTCTGTTTTACCCGGGTTTACCTTTAGTCCATAGTCCGAGCACCATATCTCTACCACTCTCAGTGCCCTTTGTGTCACATCGCATACCGTGTCCGCAAACTTACCCGGGATTAGGATCGCCAGGTCATCTGCATATCCTATTGTGAGGTAGTGCAGATTGTTCAGTCTTGTTATGAGGTCGTTCACAACTGTATTCCAAAGTAGTGGTGAGAGTACCCCCCTTTGAGGGCAACCTCTCGTAGCCAGTGCTCGCAGTTGATTCTCTCCTTGTGGTCTTATTAACCTGTTAGATAGCATGTTACTTATCCACTGGACGATGGTCTCATCAGCTCCGTGTCTAAGTAGGGCTGTCGTAATGCTGCTAAAACTGGTTTTGTCAAATGCTCCCTCTATGTCTATGAATGTGCCTAGGCAAAGCTCCTTTCGTCCTAGGCTGTCCTCGATCATGCTTACTACGGCATGCAAAGCCGATTCTGTCGATTTACCTGGACTGTAGGCATGTTGATTTGGGTGAAGCGTAGCCTTAGTCAGTTGATTGTCTCTTAGTTCTCTGTCGCAAAGCCTCTCTAATAATTTTAGTAAGAAAGAAGAGAGGCTAATTGGTCTGTATGATTTTGGCTCACTATAGTCGCTCTTACCAGGTTTAGGGATGAAAGTTACTCTGACATCCCTCCACAGTTTGGGTGTGTACCTGTAGGCCAGGCATGCTCTTAGTAGAGCTACCAGGATCCGTATTAGGTCATCTCCCGCCCACTAAAGAAGTGCCGGGAAAATTCCATCCGGACCCGCGGCCTTGAAAGGTTGGAAACTATTTAGTGCCCATTTTACCTTGCCCTGTGATACTGTCTTGTTAGCTATGTCCCAGCAGTGTAAGGTCGGTGTCCAAATGTTTCCCCCCCAGACATGTGCTGGCTTCATCACACAGCCCGGGAAGTGCGTCTCCAGGAGTAGCCTCTGTGCTTCTACCGGTGTTGAGGTGTATGTCCCATTTACCATGTCAGTACTGGGTCCATTGTGTGGCGAGAAACTCCTAGCAGTTCCCGGTGGCCTATCCCCAGATGCGACATGAATGACGTCCAGCCTTGACCCAAATGAGTGTAGAGTGGGTCATTCTTTAGTTGCTCATTCTAAAATTGAACTTACTGCACTTCTTTTAGAAGTTTATAGAAAGATTTTGTAGGACCTGTTATACCTCTCTCTTCTTCTTCCGCATATAAATATTTACAAAGCCATTTTTGGTTAGTTTGTTGGTTAGATCGTAATATTTATTGTATTGTCTTTAGGAATGATAGTTTCCCACTGTACAGAAAGCTCTATTAGTACTATATGTTTAATAAAGAGCTTGATGACGCAAATGGTCAGTGCGTGCGGCCGAGATTGTTGAAGTTAAACAACTTTCGCAGTGGTCAGTCATTAGATGGGTGACCAAAGATTTACTATCTTACATGGAGGAACTCATCCTCCAAGCTTCGGGAGGCATGCTAAGCTGTTGGTCTCGGCTACATCTGCAGTCGTTAGCACTCACCACACTGGGTCTGCGCGTGGTGGCTCATGGGGCTCATGACTTATTCCATCCATAGGGACGGCCTGTGCCCCAGCAGTGGAGACATTAATAGGCTGATGATAATGACGATAATGTTTGATGTTCCTAGAAAAGAGGAATATGTCTGGCATGTATGATGAAATATTAACATCCTTTAAATTTGTAGAGCTTTTCATGAGTATCCATTAAAATAGTCCAATCAGGTGCAGTATCTAGGATTGAGAATTGCTCGCAGTTGAGCCGGCCTCTAGAAAATTAATTTGTCTTTTGTTTGTAGTCAATCCTTATTTGGGCTCTAGCTGCTGCTGCAAGTGTTGCTGAAATACAATATCTAATCATCTTTAGAAAATAGCTCCTTCATTATTCAAAAAATCCCTTTTGACACAATGACGTATAATATATAGACAGGCGCCAGCATTATTGCATTTTAAAATGCTACAAGTAGGCTTCACCCAAACTTCCTTTGGCAACAGCTGCCTACAGAGCGTACTAAAGTATTGTAGTCTCATTCACACCCATGCATAAAGCAGATTTACACCTCGCTATGTAGCCTCCACCTGTCAACGGTGTCAGTAACTCAAAATAAGTAATCACCATGGAGGTTAGATAGAAGGAGAACGAAAAGAAAGAAAATAGTGTCCCAGAAATATGGACAAAATAAGTGAGGCGCTGCGATTGCTAAGTTGTCTCAATAAAAGCGGGCTGTTGGTTGGGCCCCAATTTGAAATGATCAAAGCCGCGAAAAAAATTTGTACATTATTCAACTAACTTCATCTACTTGTACTCATAAAGGGCTTTTTGTCTGAAAAAACTCATGAGGTACACACGTTTTATAAGTTTTTTTAAACTATAAAACATCACAGCTATGAAACAAGTTTGACTTATAACGACCAAAGTAGTTCAACACTTCCAGACCGATTGTTTTTTAACTCAAGTTGCATTCTCTAGACGTATTGAACGCACCCCAGCCCATACCATAATGTCAAATTTACATGTTGACATTTTACTATGGGTTAAATCTAGTTTTAGATGAATCGAGATTTAGCAAATTTGTTGCAAGTCGGCCTAAGATAGAATTTAAGTAGGGCAGGAGATCAATCATGTAGTAAAAACACTATTCTAACAGCCACATTCAGAAATGTCAATTAACTATGGAGTTAATGTTGCTGTCACTTTATGATGGCAGAATAACTTTAAATAAAGCATTAAAAATTGACAACTCTGAGTGAGAAGTGGTAAGAGATATTTTATGTGGTCTTTGTTTTCAACATTATATATATAGTACTTAAATTAAGAAGGAGGAATAAAAAAAAACAATTTTAATGATTTATCAGAAAAAATCTTATTTTAATTAGAGTAACGGAAAATCACGACTGTCTCAACACAAAATAAACATGAAGTACAAATGATAACAAAAAATAAAACGTCTCTATTTACATTACAGTTAGCAATATTATATTAATTAAATATTAATGTTAAATGCCATCAGTGGCATACAGAATGTCTTGCATTCGACACAGTCTATAATAAAACATAATTAAGTATCAAAGAGTTTTTCAGTAAATTTAAGTATCCAGAAACGTTTAAACATATTTCAATAAATTACATTTATCACTAAAATTTAGTTATATATTATTTACTTTAGTTTGACAATTCTGTATTCCCTCTTGCATATAACATCAAAGTCCTACTCTCAATAGAACGAGAAAAATATAAGTCATACTTTCACAATCAACTTATAGAGAAACATTTAAATTGTGGATCTCTTAAATAAGGTCACCCGGGAATATTGTAGCCTGGGGGCAAATGTAGTTGTTACAAATAACTCATTACTGTTTAGTTTATAAAATAAGTTATAACTGCGGCTCTGTAGAGCAACTTTTAATGACCTTCATATAAATAGATTTCGCCAAATAATACAAAACAGTAACAGTAAGTAAGTAAAAACTACATTTACATTTGCCCCCTGCCTACAATAGCCCAGATAACCAACTCTAAACATCTACTATTTTTTAAATCTACAAATGCTTCAACTAGCTTGCTACGACAAGCTAAAGAGGGCCTTAGGTGTCGGTTTGGGGAAGGAAGTCCAGTCCAGTGTTGCAACTTTGATATGTTCCGGTGAAAATCTGGTGCCGCAATGAGCGTGGAAGACACCGTTAGCCCTCGAATCATTAAGTACATTTATATAGATCTTATTTACATTAACCATAAACATTTTAAATACTACAAATAAATTAAAAGTTAAGGCTTGTGTACAGACAGACACACGGAAGCAGTGCAGTTGGTATATTTAACAATCAGTTTGTATAATTTTTATTCTGCTTTCACAGGTGTATATACACGTTATGCTGGCTATTCGTGTTTGCTCTTTGTAAACTTAACAACAGTCTGTCCTTATCATGCTTATAAGGAATGAAGAGGACAGGCTGATGTCAAGTTTACAAAATAGCAAACGTGAAATGTCGGCATGTGCATTGCATATTGCAGATAGTCATTATCTCACTTTACGCCAATCTTATAAGGCCTATCATAGGCGGAAGATTTTTTCTATGTTCAGTCTTGTATCTGACAAAATAAATATTTTTTATAAATTTGCAGCGGTCGATTTTATGCGTTTGCTTTTTAATAAAGATCTGTAGTCTGGACAAGTAAAAAATCGGTCGCCAATGACAGGCCTAGTATGATTGAAATCTATCATTATGGCCTTACATACATATTAAGAGCGATGCAGTATTGAGAATTATCGCTCACACATAATTTGTTACA